TTTCTAACGTTAGATAATGGTATAGAGGTAGATGATGTTCTAATGTTAGATAATGATATAGAGGTAGGTAATGTTCTAATGTTAGATAATGGTATAGAGGTAGATGATGTTCTAATGTTAGTTAATGATATAGAGGTAGATAATGTTCTAATGTTAGATAATGGTATAGAGGTAGATGAAGTTCTAATGTTAGTTAATGGTATAGAGGTAGATGATGTTCTAATGTTAGTTAATGATATAGAGGTAGTTGATGTTCCAGTGGTAGATGATGTCTAAATGATAGATGATCGTGGTTAAATAATGTTCGATACGTCGATGGCTAACGACATCACTACATTATAATGTTATAAGTAGCGCCGTACTCATAGCGCTGGGTGAGCTTCTGTGGCAATATCAAGACGTTTGAGGGATGTTGTTTGTTTTTTTAAGTGTGAGTTCATACATTTGCATTTTAAAAAGTCATTCTATCATTTGCTTAGCATTTTCATATTTACTTTATATTTTTTAACTGTGCTAAAAATTAATCTAAATACCTAACCCTGACCCAGTTTAATTATTATTGTTTAACGAGACGTCGGGTTCAATAAAACAAAGATCAAAAACATTCACAATGATAAGCTTTTAAGCTCACAGAAACAAAAGAAAATAGAACAAACTCGCTGTTTCATTAAAGCATTGATCACGCATGTAATTTCTTATACATTTAACTACTAATGCTTTCATTAGACAAAGCAAGTTTATTTTATTTTCTTATTTTCGGTGCATTTAAAAGCTTGTTATTATAATTTTTTAATAAATTTTTAATAAATTTATTATAAATTAAAAAAAAGTAAGTTGAAATTTAAAGCTCTAATAACAGTATGTAGGCCTTTTTCCTCTGTCTAAATGAAGTCAATACTATACACGACGAAAAATAGTTGCTTTAAAAACCCAAGCAGTATCTTGAGAAATCAAAAAGACAATTATCTGCCCTTTGTTTGGTCTGTGGTCGACTCTCTTCTGTGAAACCAGCCATCCGAGACCATCAATTCAAACGGTGTTTTTTACTTTCTCGTATATACGAAGTATAGAGAAAGTCTTGTAATCGTGCAAAAAAAAAAATCGAGATTTTTACAAATTAGTGACGTTTTACACCTCACTGATACGGAAAAACATAATTTTGCAATCTTGTCCGTATGTCTGTGTGTCTGTCTGTGTGTCTGTCTGTGTGTAAACACGATAACTTGAGTACCGTTACAACTAGGTTGATGAAATTTCATATATGAGTATTTTATCAAAATCGTAGATCCAGATCAACTTGTGAGCGATTTCCGACAACCGGAAGTGGTACTTTTTCTACTTTGAATTTTTCAAAAGCCTATAACTTGAGTATTATTTCAGATAGATAAATGAAATTTCACATGTAAGTAAAAGATCTAATTCTCTCTACCTTCTGTCAAATTTTGAGTAATTTCCGTTGACCGGAAGTACTAATTTACGCTATTTCCGATTTCTAAAAAAAAAACGCATGTAAATTTATAAAGTACTAATAATATTGCGCACTATTATGCACCTTTTGTTTTGCCGTTCGCTTGGTGCGCAATTCTTTTTTCTATGAGATTCTATTCTATTTTTAAAAGTTTAAGTAATTAAAAATCATGTCTATATTCCAAGTTATATAAGAACATTCGAGAAAGTTTAGGGGAGATCACTCCCGGTTTGTTTTATTTTATTACTTTCTCGTATACGGAGCGCAGATGAAGTATTTTGATCGTGCAAAAAATCGAAATCGATGTTTTCACAAACCTCGCCGTTTTACACCCCCCCTGAGTCGGAAAAACTTAGTTTTGCATTTTGTCTGTGTGTCTGTCTGTCTCTGTGTCTGTCTGTTAGGTTAACGAAATTTCATATATAAGTATAATTTCAAATTTGTAGTTCTGTATCAACTTTTCAGCGATTTACGGTAAACGAAACTTATTCTACTTTCGGTTTTTCAAAAGCCTATACCTTAAGTACTGTTTAACTACTGTTTCAGTTAGATAGACGACCTTTCTCATATATCTGGAGGATCTGATTACCTATTGTTTTTTTTTTATTTTTGGTTGTTGTTGTTTTTTAACAAATTTTGAGAAATTTCCAGTGACCGGATATAGTACTTTACCCTATTTCCGATTTTCGAAAAAACGCGTAAAAACTTATTTTTAACTTGATTCCTCAGTCATAATCGGATATTTGCGAGCACAATTTCGAACATAACTACCGGACTGGGTTACTTGAAACTTTGCACGTAGGTCAAGACTCGAAGACAATGTATTGTGACATAAAAATGTTACTAAAATAGATGATTAATTACCTCTCTGAAAATGAATCAAGGCTTTCTTTATAAAGTACTAATGTTTTCTAATATTATACACACATTATTTGCTGTTCATTTAGTGCGCTATTCTTTTTTTCTACGAGATTCTATTCTTTTTTTTAAATTAATTAAGTATTTAAAAAATGATTTTTTTTTAATGTCTATATCCCGACTGCACTAGAGTTATCTTCGCCATTAGTACCCAAGAATATTCGAGAAAATGTAGGGGAGATCACTCCTGCTTTATTTTTATCTCCCTTTTGTTATTGAATTTGGTAATCTTTTAATTAATTTTGAATTACGAATTTAATACGAAATACGCAATACGATATACTCTTGCGTTGTCAACGGATACGGGTGTATTAGAAATGGGTCAAAGTTTAGTTTCAAGATGGACATTAGACGCAAACCCACTGACAAACGAACATCTGGGGGGGGGGGGGTGTGTTAAAAAATTGACAAAGAAAACGTGGCGTTGTTTACGAACGACGCCGAATTAAAATAAAACTTAGTAAATTAGTGCCGATATAGATTTCTAAACATAAAATAAGCTTTGAACTACAACCACACAACACATTATTTGAGTAATAACCCGTGAAAACTTGTTATAAATATTTTATTACCAGTAATATAACATCTGTTATACACGAATCAGGAAACTAAGGTAAATCACGTGATTAAAACACGTGACCCAAATCACACAATAAACGGATAAAACACACAATGCCTGTCACATAACTAGAAAAAATAATATTACACATCAATGATTTTTAAATACGATAAAGTGCTTTTTTAAATAAAAATATTTTGGACGTAGTAGATCTATACTAATGTCCTACACGCTTGCGCCTGTTTAGGGACAGGCTGGCTATCAGGGGTGGGGACTGCTGGTCTGGGGGGAGGGAGGGGAGGGATGAGTCCAGAAACCAGACGATAATTTGCATAACAGATTTTTTTTTAAAATAGAAAAGTCCAAGACGAGAGGTACAAATTGGTTCCATTACCCGGCTGCACCGCTGTGTCGTTATTGCTCTGTGGTTGGTTCTGTTCTGTGCGGGTTGTTTCACTCATACATGGCTGAGTTTGGTTGTTTTGAACGGCTGTTCCGTTGCATTGTGCTAGAGTGGCTGTTCCGACGTTGTTTTTGACTAAAGCGGCTGATCTATCATTGTATCAGGCCTACCTGATGAAGGTCGTTGGACTAAGGTGGCTTTTCCGTCATTGTTTTAGGCCTAGCGTTCGAAGGCCGTTGGGCTAAAGGGGCTGTTCCATCATTGTATCAGGCCTAGCGTTTGAAGGCCATTGAACTAAGGTGGCTGTTCCGTCATTGTCCTAGGCCTAGCGGTTGAAGGCCGTTGGGCTAAAGGGGCTGTTCCATCATTGTATCAGGCCTAGCGTTTGAAGGCCGTTGAACTAAGGTGGCTGTTCCGTCATTGTCTTAGGCCTAGCAGTTGAAGGCCGTTGGGCTAATGTGGCTGTTCTATCATTGTATCCGGCCTAGCGATTGAAGGCCGTTGGGCTAAGGTGGCTGTTCCATCATTGTCTTAGGCCTAGCGGTTGAAGGCCGTTGGGCTAATGTGGCTGTTCTATCATTGTATCCGGCCTAGCGGTTGAAGGCCGTTGGGCTAATGTGGCTGTTCCATCAGTGTGTCAGACCTAGCGGTTGAAGGCCGTTGTCGTGGACTAAAGCGGCTATTCCATCATTATCTAGTGCTAAAGCGACAATCCCGTCGACCAAACTACTACTCAAGCCAATCAATACTGTACTAATTTACTTACACTCTAAATCCGACTTAAAACAACTTTTCCCCCAGGATTTCACCATCTATCCAACAATTCTAAAACTCGACCGCCCCTCCCCCTACACCTTACTTACTCCACTACATACTAGAGAGAAACCGCTAAGTTCAAAGCAAGCACTCACAAGTGTAACGTGATCTACAGATCTACTATATATGAATACTTAATTACTGATCAGACATAACCCATAAAGTTGACGACGTAGCATCAATAAATGTCTGTCAAAGCTACCAGCTTAGAGAAATGGGAAGAAGTCCTGCAGTAAAGAACTTCAAGCTAGAAGCAAGTAAGGCGAATAAAATATTGTCACAAACTGTTCCAGATTCATGGGATATCTCCCCCCCCCCCCCAGCCCTACCCCCACTAGTGGTTATCCGAGACTTGTTGGTCGCCAGGTAAGCTGACGGTTAAAACATTCACTCCGACAAAACTGTCCCCACACAAACTCCCCACAAACCACCCCGTTTACACCCTCACCCCACACACACAAACCACCTCCCCTTACAAACACCCCAAAACCACTCCCCTCACACAAACAACTACCCTTATAAACACCCCAAAAACTACTCCCCTCATATACTCCCCACAAAACACCGCCTCTCACAAACCACTCACAGACTACCGCCTCTCCCCACACAAACTCCCCACAAGATAGCCCATCTCCCCACACGAACTCCTCACAAGATAGCCCATCTCCCCACTCAAACTCCCCACAAAATAGCACATATCCCCACCCCCCAAAATCTCCCCACAAGATAGCCCACCTCCCCACACAAACTCCCACAAGATAGCCCATTTTTTATTCCCTTTCACCCTCAAAATAACACATTAAACTCTCGTAACCCCCCCCCCCCAAATACCACCCTCACCCCACAAAGCTAACAAAGCCTAGACTGTGGTCGGCCCGCCGCGGTCCTCCAGCACCATGTGGGCGCACTTCTCTCCTACCATCACGATGGGGGTGTGGGTGTTCCCTGATGGTATGTACGGCATGATGGAGCCGTCAGCCACCCTCAGGCCTTTCACTCCAATCACCCTGGGATCAGACAGAATATTTCAGCTTTCACATACATACATACATACATCGATTAACACATCTCTAATTGTATAATCGTAATATATATATATATATATATATATATATATATATATATATATATATATATATATATATATATATATAGGCTTGTTACAATTCAAGATCAAACACTTTACATTGCATACATAATCTAGTACGTTACTTGAGAAATATTTCAAATGTCTAAGTGGTTTATTGTTTTATGTTTGTTATAATTAGTGGTAACCTACTTCAGATCAGTGGGTCAAATTAAAGGTTTTTTTTAAAGTAATGAGATAGTAAAGTTAATTTATTTTATTTTTAAATCTACTCCTGCACGATTTCACTGGCTCTGTGTTAAGTTATACATATTTTTTTTAAAACTAACCTCAATCGTGGGTCAACGACCGCCGTGGGGTCAGTGACCCTGCCCATCTTGCAGGTGCCCACCGGATGGTAGATGGTGTGGATCTTCTGCCGGACCATGCACTGCCAGTAGCCGTCCGTGTCGTACGCGTGCTCCTGGCAGAACCTGTTGGGCTTGTCCGCCGGCACCGACCCCAGGGCTTTCAAGGTCGCCGTCTCTTGGAATCTCTGGCAGTACCGGATACCTGGGGGGGGGGTGTGAGGGGGTTATTGTTGTAAGCTTATGGGTTGTTAAGTCGATAAGTCTGGACTAGTAGGTCACTCTCGTGGAATTAAAACTTACACCATGCAGTGTATAGTATTACAACCAGTTTGTAAGTTTAGTAAGTCAATAAGTCAATTAAAGTTTGTATCTAACCAGAGTGGTCTCACCTGACCTTATGGCCTTTGTCTCACCTGACCTTATAACCGTGGTCTTATCTGACCTTATGACCATTTTCTCACCTGACCTTATGACCTTTATCTCACCTGACCTTATAACCGTGGTCTCACCTGACCTCATGACCGTGGTCTCAATTGACCTTATGACCGTGGTCTCATCTGACCTTATGACCTTTGTCTCACCTGACCTCATAACCGTGGTCTCACCTGACCTTATGACCATTTTCTCACCTGACCTTATGACCTTTATCTCACCTGACCTTATAACCGTGGTCTCACCTGACCTTATGACCTTTGTCTCACCTGACCTTATAACCGTGGTCTCACCTGACCTTATGACCTTTGTCTCACCTGACCTTATGACCTTTGTCTCACTTGACCTTATGACCGTGGTCTCACCTGACCTTATGACCTTTGTCTCACATGACCTTATGACCTTTGTCTCACCTGACCTTATGACTTTGGTCTCACCTGACCTTATGATCTTGGTCTCATCTGACCTTATGACCTTTGTCTCACCTCTAACCAGAAGGTCAACGTCCTCCTGCCTGTGCAGGTAGTTGGGGTCAATGGACGGGTAATCAAACGGGTCACGTGACTTGAGCCTGATGACGCCACGACTCTCGGGGCGCAGGAGTGAGGCCTCACAGGCGAACATGTCGGTGTGAGTGTGGCGGTGGCTAGACTCCTGCAGGGTCTGGGGGAGAAACCACGCCCACGTGTCATAAATAGGGCTGGTAAGTAGGTCACAACCAATTCTATGGCTCATGCAGGTTTTATTGAGCCGTATAACTGGTTGGTGACCTACTTGCCAGCCCTATTGTCATGCGTACGTGGCAAAACATGGGGAACAAGTGCGCTTAAATATTAGTTTTGTGTTTATAATTTATTCTGTAAAAGATGTAAATTGATAAAACAGACATGACCCCCCCCCCCCCCACACCCCCTCCCACCTACCCCACCCCCACTCTATTGAAAGAGAACGTACCTCCTCACTGTAGCCAAACTTCCTCAGTGACTCTACCGTCCACGGAGTTTGGTGAAACATGATTTGAAAATCTGGCCAGTTCTGTTTCCGGCTTTTGTCATCTGTGCAGTCAAAGACTTGCACCTCCACGTAGTGACTGGAGCTGAGGATACCTGGGGTGAGGTGTTAGTGGAGGTGTGAGTATGGGTAGGGGTGTGGGTAAAGGTGTGTGAGGAGGTGTGGGTGGTCATGTGAGTGAAGGTTTGGGTGGTTGTGGTGAAGTGTGATCTATGATGTGGTTGTGTGTGTGGAGGTGTGGAGGTGTGGATGGAGGTGTCTGTAGTCGTGCGGGTGGTGGTGTGGGTGATGGTGGGGGTGGAGGTGAAGGTATTGTAGGAGGCACGTGTGAATGTGTGGGTGATGATTGGAGTTGTTAAAAAGGAGGTGGAGACAGTATCGTAGCGAGGGGGGGGGGGACAAATGTCCCCGGGCGCCGACCTTAGGGGGCGCCAAAATGGGTTGGAAAAATAAATTGAAAGGTTGAGGGGGGTGCAAATCGAAAGTTTGAGGGGGGTGCAAATGGAAATGTCAAGGGGGGGGGGGTGCAAATCGAAAGTTTGAGGGGGGGTGCAAATGGAAATCTCAAGGGGGGGTGCAAATCGAAAAGTTTGTCCCCGGGCGCCGGGAAGGGTCGCTACGCCTCTGGGTGGAGATGAGTGATTGTACAAGTATGGCTTGAGCCATGTAGACACATAGAATGTGCGACCATAAGGACAGTACTACATCATCAATTACTTGCCTTCAAGCAATTTTGCCTGTTCGGTAGACCCGTACACTTACCTGACCCAAACACCGGTACCGTAGCCCCTACACTTACCTGTCACAAACAACGGTACCGTACCCCCCTACACTTACCTGTCCCAAACACCGGTACCATACCCCCTACACTTACCTGTTCCATACACTGGTACATACCCCCTACACTTACCTGTCCCAAACAGCTGTTCCGTAGACCCGTACACTTACCTGTCCCAAACACCGGTACCGTAGCCCCTACACTTACCTGTCCCAAACAGCAGGACCTGTAGCCCCCTTAACTTACCTGTCCGGAACAGCTGGACCTGTACCCCCCTACACTTACCTGTCCCAAACAGTGGTACCTGTACCCCCCTACACTTACCTGTCCCAAACAGCTGGACCTGTAGCCGTGACCAGAGCGAATCGATCTGATCAGGTGTGGCGCTGACCGTCTGGTTCAAGCCGATGGAATACTCAAAGAACAGGTGGTCTTGTAGGTTCGATCCGACAGGTAAGTCTGCTACCACAGGTATCTGGAGGGTGGGGGAGAGGGGTGGGGGTTAAAATCAACGTGTCTAAGGTTAGATTGAAGTAAGGTATATTAACTTCCTCGTATACGAAGTATAGAGAAAGTATTGTAATCGTGTGAAAAATCGAAATAGAGATTTTTCACAAATCTCGACGTTTTACGCCTCCCTGAGTCGGAAAAACACAGCTTTGTAATTTTTTTCGTATGTCTGTGTGTATGTGTTTGTGTATGTGTGTGTATGTCTGTCATCACGATAACTTGAGTACCTTTACAGCTAGGTTGATGAAATTTCATATATAAGTATTATATCAAATGTGTATGTCTGTATCAACTTTTCAGCGATTTCCGACGACCAGAAGTGAAACTTATTCTACTTTCAATTATTCAAAAGCATATAACTTGAGAACTGTTTCTGATAGATAAACAACATTTCACAGGTAAGTAAAAGATCTAATTCTCTGCCTTCTGTCAAATTTTGAGTAATTTCCGTTGACCGGAAGTAGTAATTTACGCTTTTTCTTATATGAATTTATTATACACATATTGTTTGCCGTTCATTTGGTGAGCAGTTCTTTTTTTTTCTATGAGATTCTATTCTATTTTTAAAAGTTAAAGTACTTAAAAATGGATTAAAAATCATGTCTTATATCCCGAGTTGCCATCCCCCGCAGTGTTGTATAAGAATATTCGAGAACGTTTAGGGGAGATCACTCCCGCTTTATGTTTTTATCATTATTTGACAAAAGCATACATTATTAACAGACGCGGTAAATGATGGGGTTTGGTGTCATGCCAATCAAAACAGACGAAACATACAAGTACATAGCAACATGAAAATCTGTTGACATGACAACGTGTCTAGTTTCAATAGAAAAACACGAAAGAATTATCAAGACGACAGCGATACTCATGTAGCAAACAAGTGTAAAGAAACGGTGACACACTGTGTGAACATGATTACATAACACAGAATTGTAACAAGGTGACACCTTATGAAACAGCCGAGAGTATAACGACAGGTACCACACTATAAAACAGCCGTAAATAACGACTAGAGACACACTATAAAACAGCCGTAAATAACGAAAGGTGCCACACTATGAAACAGCCGTGACACCTTATGAAACAGCCGTGAGTGTAACGACAGGGGACATACTTAAAACAGCCGTGACACACTATGAAACAGCCGGGACACACTATAAAACAGCCGTGACACCTTATAAAACAGCCGTGACACACTATGAAACAGCCGTGACACCCTATAGAACAGCCGTGACACACTATGAAACAGCCGTGACACACTATAAAACAGCCGTGACACACTATAAAACAGCCGTGCCACACTATGAAACAGCCGTGACACACTATAAAACAGCCGTGCCACACTATAAAACAGCCGTGCCACACTATAAAACAGCCGTGCCACGATATAAAACAGCCGTGCCACACTATAAAACAGCCGTGACTGTTACCTTACCCCCAGCTCCTGCAGATGCTCCCTGGGTCCGACCCCGCTCAGCATGAGGATCTGTGGCGAGCCGATGGCCCCAGCCGACAGGATTATCTCCCTGTTGGCACGTATTGTCTCCTTCCTCCCCTGGTGGATTAGATCCACACCCACGGCCTGCTGGCCCTCGAAGATGATCTGTTCGGGTATTTACATCATCGTTAACTTCAACGTTAAAATCATCGTTAACATCGTCGTTAACATCGTCGTTAACATCATCGTTAACATCGTCATTAATATTATCGTTAAAATCGTCGTTAACATCGTCGTTAATATCAACGTTAAAATCGTTGTTCAGATCGTCGTTAACATCATCGTTAAAATCGTCATTAATATTATCGTTAAAATCGTCGTTCACATCGTCGTTAATATCATCGTTAAAATCGTCATTAATATTATCGTTAAAATCGTCGTTAACATCTTCGTTAATATCATCGTTAAAATCGTTGTTAACATTATCGTTAACATCGTCGTTAATATCATCGTTAAAATCGTTGTTAAGATCGTCGTAAACATCGTCGTTAATATCGTCGCTAACATTTTTATTAACATGGTCGTTAACATGATCTTTAACATCGTCGTTTGTATCGTTGTCACTTCGTCTTTAACTTCCGTCTTTGGCATTGTCGTTAGCATCGTTTTTAACATTTTCATTAACATCGTCGTTAACTCTGATGGGTACCTGTCTATGGTTAGGTAGGCTGGGCTTAGTGCTGACCACACTATTCCTTCATCTACCGAGGTCAAGAAACATGGAATCTACCTCATCGTTGGGAATGAATAGGAATCTTTGCTATCGTAGAAACAGCTGAACTCTACTTCAGCTGCGCCATTGAGGTAGAAGTGGCACTCAAGTTTGCTACAACACATCGGCCAAACACGTGCCTGCTTGTCTCCGCTCATCTTTTGTCACTCAAACCCCAGCACTCACCTTTCTCACGTGAGAGTTGATGCGCACGTGCAGGTTTTCTCGCGACAGGACGGTGTGTATGTACCCACGGGACGAGCTCCACCGGACACCCCTGTAGGAGTTGGACTGTGTCTGCGACAAACCTGGGGGGAGGGGGGGTAGTGGCGTCACACATTAGCTACAAGCTAAAGTGATAGATTGATAAATTTAAGACACCCGGAAGTGGTGACGTCACAAATAAGCATACACAAATAAAGATATTAACAGACCTGGAAGTAATGACGTCACACATTTATGGACCAGGAAGTAATGAGGCTACATATTAATAAACCTGGACATGATGACTTCACACACGGCTAGACTCTGACGTAATGACGTCACACACGGTCTGACCCGGTCGTAATGACGTCACACGCCGCTAAACGCGGACTTAATGACGTCACACACCGCTAGACCCGGGCGTAATGACGTCACACACGGCTAGACCCGGACGTCATGATATTGTAATTGGCTATGGCTGTAACCGGCGCATGTTTTCAAGATCACATGCCTGTGTAGATTCTCTTCAGCGCAGCGTGAAATAAAAATGTGAACATCGCGTGCTAACTTGTTTAATATTTCAAATCCAGACCAAAGCAAAAAAAAATTAGATTTTTTTTTTAATTAATGCGAGCATTTCTCTCTTAAGCCAGACGGGGGGTAAATACATAACCCTGCCTGCATTACATGCTAATACATGTTTTTGTGTCTTTTGAATTCAGTTTATTTTTAAATCATCGTGTTGATGAGTTGTGGAAAAAAATAGGGTTGTCCTTAGTGTAAAGAAGCTATAGATGTCTAGTTGTAACAGACGGGTTAATTATTGACACTCTTTGACACCAGGAATAAAATATATTTTTTATAAAACTTCCACAGACTTGAACTGCAATTGTCTTTTCTATTTAAATCAAGTTAATTATTTTTATGTGTTTTTTTTTAATCAACAAAACACGATTTATTTCTATTAGATTTTTGTGGGTTTTTTTTTTAATGGAGAATGGGCGCCATTTTAAGACGTCATATGATTATGGTGGTCCCGCCCACATCCCCTCACATGCACACACACTCACACACGCACACACACACACACCTTCCTATCTTGAACACGTCATATAAAGCTCATCCCACCAATCAGTAGCGTTACGGGGCGTGACTGGGGGTGCGATCGGCACCGGGTGATAATTAATCAACAAAATCTTTAAATTGACGGTCAAAATCAAAACGTTTTACCCAGTTCAAATAATAACAAAGTAGACGTGAAGGGTGACACCAAACCGAAAATGCACAAATTTTGGAAGAGGTAGAGTGGCACTGACATTTACAGCACCGGGTGTGACCCAACCTATTAGCGCCACTGCCATCTATATTTAGAACATGACGTCACCCCTGAACAAATCTTATATTTTCTGACTCTCCAAACGCCCACGCCTTGTGACCCCCTTATACTGTTTCTACACTCGTTAATTTCTATTTGCAAGATAACGTTTTAAAAATCGAAATAATAGCACATGCCTCGCTTCAGATATGAAGCAGACGATAGAAAACCTGGTTGTCACAATAGAAAATGTCACGAGGCGGCTGTCACATGGAGGGCTGTCACAACGAAATGACAGACAGACGAACAGCCTATCACAGGAAATTCGCAACGCTATAAACAGCTAATTTTTTCTCTCTTCCAAGAGATAGAATTCAATGTGCGAAATTAAAATTTAACAAGACGCATTGTTGAGTGGATCGCATTTTACCCCATCCTGGTATTAAATCTCATTGTTCTGCTGCGTGTTCCTGTAAACCCACTCTCCTCCCCCTCTCCTCTACACTCTACTCCCTCTGCCTCCCCATGCTTCACCTCTTTCGTTGAAGTCTATTATTTCTGGGAGTATCAGTTACCTCGCTCAGATTCCACGCTCTCCGGAGATTCCAGCCCTCGTGCATGGGCTAATTACAATACACCTGAGTTCAACCTGTTAGCTACCATCATACTGACCTGTGACCTACCATCATACTGACCTTTAAGCTACCATCATACTGACCTTAGAACTACCATCATACTGACCTTAGACCTAACATCATACTGATCTTTAAGTTACCATCATACTGACGTTAGAACTACCATCATACTTACCTTAGAGCTACCATCATACTGACGTGTGTCGTACCATCATACTGATCTTTAAGTTACCATCATACTGATCTTTAAGCTACCATTATACCAACTTGTAAACAACCACCCTAATGAACCCCCCTCCCCACCCCAATTCTCACCATCCCCCACCCCCTCTCCACCAACCCTCTTTACACAACCACTGTTTCCTAGCAACAAATCTTGAATTATCTTTCTTCTATTTTATGTATATTTAATAAGGGGAATAACCAGAATTGTGTTTACCTCGAGTTAACGCCCATGGGTTTTCACCGACACTTCAACCAACAGGCGGCGCTGCGTGAAATAAAACCTCACTTTCATTGGTCTCACATGTTCACCATTCATACGCCCCATACGCATACAATCACATATACATTACAATATACGTGGCCCCATGCGAACACAAGTCAAGAGATCTCGAAATGTTATTTTATCTTCTGGGGGTGGGGGGGTGGGGGGGTGGGGGTAGGGTCGGGGTGGGGGGGGTGGGATTAGGGCAGATAAATTATGTCTTTTTTCTGTCTGGTTCCATGAAAAATGACAAGTATTTTATATTCTATTTACATTCAAATATTCATAAGCAGGTTGTTTCACAATGTTGACGGCCCCCTCCCCCACCCCTCCTCACGTGTCCTATCTTATCCCACCTGTCTACATCCAGGTAGCAAATTTCTGTGAGTTTCCTGCCTTTCGCGCTATTTCCTACTCATCTTACAAGTCGTTTCTTAGGTCACAACGTCTATGTCTGCGTGGGTTTGTGGTTGAATCTCGTAACGCATTTTTTAAACATTTGCCAACGTGAGTGATAACTAAACAACCCAGGTAAATGGTTTCCGATGACAGCGCAAGAATATCAAATTTCAACTTAATTTTAAAAGTAAATTTAAAAGTCCATAATCAAAATTTTTAAAAAACGTGTGGGGTGGATAATTAGATTAAGTAGTGTTAGATTGTTGACACGTTCAGTTCTTTTGATTACGTGTATTTCTTTCTAATTCAGACTGATTAAAGCCCCTATGTAATCACTACCATCTGTTGTAGCACCAAGCCCATGTACATGTAATTTAAACCTACCTTTTCATGGGACGGCGTGGCCTATCGGTGGAGCGTTAGACCGCTAACCCGATAGTTTCGAGTTCGAATAGGGGTTCTTGAGTCCATCTCTGATGGGTACCTAACTCACTTTAGGGAAAATAAAGGCGGCTACATTATCCCTTTGTATGCCGAGGTCAAGAAACATATGAACTCCACTTCATCTGCCCAATAGATCGTTAAGTCTAAAGAGGAATCTTTACTTTAGTTTTCTTTTCAAACTATTTACCCAACCACCTTAGAGTAAGAATTTCTTTAAGATTTTAATTAAACTAAACCACTAGACACTCTTCTACTATATCTGTCATACATGCATGGGATTAAATCGACAAATTCATTTTTAACGTGTTTACGGTTTGTGTTTAGTGAATGAACTAAGAAAGTCAGCATCAAACGAGAAACATTGGGGGTGGGAGGAGTGGGGAAATGTTGACGTTTGCTGCACATCAATTCTATAATTTATTTCAGACATGTCTGTGGAAAGTCAGCCTTCCCACTCCTACCCCATACCACCCCCCCCCCATCCCCCACCACGGGAGCAAACCTATCGCCCCATCACATCCTCGGACGAAATAGAAGAAAAAAAAATAATTTTATAGACAACTTACACTTCAACCAGCGCATACGTCATTTCTCCCCCACCTCTCCCCCTCCCCGATAGTCTCAATCCACAACCCCCTGGAGAAAAAAAACGTCTAAAAGTAGCATTGTACTCATAAACGTGTGTCCGGGGGGGGGGGGACATTCCGTCTATCCATCCGAATGGAGGAATTTCCCATTCCCCCCCCCCCCCCCCCACCAACCCCATGTTATTTTTTTCCCTGAATAAATTATGTCGGATGGAAGGAATTTAAATGTTAATTGCTGCGTTAATTATCAAATTTAGCACGTTTCACCCGGGCGAGAGACGGGTGCACAAATTTTAAGTGTGTGCAAGTTCGGTAACTCCAGGTCAAGAATGTGAGTTGTCGGGCTGTAGGTGGGCGGGGCGAGCGAAATCCACCAGTTTCCGACTCGACACTGTCATTAAGGCTTGTCAGATCTTGGCACTGAAAGCTTTTAGGAATTATATTTGTCCTGGATTAATTTTTTTTCTTCTAATTGTAATTAATTTTAAACCACTTTTTTTTTGTTGGATAGCCAGTAATGTGTCTATACTGCATAATTTAAATCGCGAATTGATTAGCCTAATTCATTAGGCCGCAACTTTTGTCAATTTTTACCTTCCCCTCCCCCCACCGTCACACTTCGTCACAAAGCCAGATCCCATGCACATTAAAATGGCGTAACAAGTACGCCTATAACCTCAAAACCGCAGTTTAATTAATTTATTTTTTAAAACATGGATGTTTTCTAAACTATTGATGAGCTTAGTCAACATAAAATGTCTTCATCAATTTCTATTTCAATTTACAAAAACAGTTTATAAAAACCGCGAAATAACGGCTAAAATTCATTTGCTAACATTATTTTTTGTATAAATGAAAAAAGTGTGACGTCACACTATATGACCCACCCTCATTAGGTTGTAGTTCAATCAACACATTGTAATGAGATCTACGTCACGCTAATGGTTATAAATGTGATGTCTTTTCCACCATCTTAAAGAAGAATAAGAATAAGATGACTCATTTATGGGGTAATAAAATAATTTTGTTTTGTTTTGAATACATTTTCTGTCATAGTTTTATTGTATTAGGAACACTTATTCCACAAATTGGATGCCTAAGTAGGCGAAGTTAGCTATGTCTTTGGGAAATGTATTTGGGATGTGTAATATAAAACAACGATTCTGTTTTATGTTTTTAAAAATCTGTCAGATAAGTAAAATGTAGCTGATTTGGTGAAATAGTTGCCGTAGTGTATAATGTTCTTATCTATCAGAAGGATATTAGTTAAGGAAAAAATCTAAGGAACTAGATCAGCCAGCTAGTAATTGTGTCGACATTTTGTGTCGTCATTTAATAATGTTGATTCCTGACTGGTATTTGTTGTGAGGTAAGCTGAAATAACTTACACGGTGTAAGCTGAATCAACTTATATGGTGTAAGTTACACAGAAACCCCCAAACGGGTGATTATATTTGAAGTGACTTCTTTTTTTTTCATTGTATAAATCTTTTACAATAGTTTATTCCTTATGGGATAGTAAACCATAAATTAACAATAACATTAACAGTACTTCTTCATGAATAGAAAAATCGACTTCCGTATGTGTCGCCATCCCACCATTCAACAATACCATCCCACACACCCATCCCACACACCCATCCCACACAAACATCCCATACATCCATCCCACACAAACATCCTTCACATACTTCCCACAAATGCATCCCCCACATACACCCCACACAACCATCCCACACCACTATCCCTCACAACAACCCCCCCCCACAATCAGCCCACACAATCAGCCCCTCTGATTGAAACAAATGATGTTTACAAGCGAGGTACAGCTCGTGACGTCAGACCAAAGTTCCCAGAGTTAGCTTGTAGTACAAGCAGTTCAATCAACACTTTGTAATGTGATCTACGTCACGCTAATTGTTATAAATGCGATGCCCTTTTCCCCTATCTTAAAGCCCGCTGTACTACTCCTATCCCCCTTGCACTATTACCTCAAGTTTGTTTGTTTTTTAATCGATAAACACCCCTTTAAATTATTTCACTAATTTCATTATTCTATTACAAAGCTCTGACGTCACACTCCAAGGGCCAGCACTCGTGATCTCCCCGCACCAGCCTGCCCTCCCTTTGATTAAAACAACAGAGATGAAACTCACCTTCCATGACCTCCCCGTTGGGGTCAGATATCTTTAGCCCGAGTTCTTGACCAGCCCTGAGCAGATAATCGGTCAGTGGCATTGTCTTGGGCACCGAGACTTTGAGGGGCCCACCCCGCCCGTGGTACTCTGCGACACAGAAATAAATTGGCTTGTTGGAGGCGGGGTTAGTCTGGCTTGTTTACTAACGTTAACGTTGTGGCCAGATCAATTTTCCAGCAATCCGACCAGCACACAGTACACGCATTTACTCGGTTTGACCATAGCTTTTATACATGATACACAACATAAAATGGTTGTATTGCTCAATAACAAGAGCAGACCTGAACTGTTACATTAAGCATTACATGAGACAGATGTCATGTTTTTCAAATTGTGTGTTCCTTGAGAGTGTTTCTTTCAGACTTTTTTCTCCGGTGGTGGGCACGTTAAACTTCCGGGGGAAGGGGGTGGCATACATTGATAAAAGTATTTATTGTCTATATAAATTATAATTCGTTCAGGAGGGGGGTGGGAGGGGGCAGTAGAAGTGTTTCAGAGACGGGTAACCGTCGCCATCCCCCCCCCCCCCCCCCCCCACTTTTAAGAGATGCCTGAAAGAAACATTGCACTATACGGATTAGAAAAGTAATCAGACCTTGAAAGCGATTAATCGGACATACAATCATGAAATTGGACATTTAAAATATAAACGTTGAAACGGACAATGAGAAATTAATACTGATCAGTTGGGCAGTGTATTTGTACATCAGGACATGGAAGTAAAGAACTGGAATCTGTCACCTACCAGAATTGGCAAGGCTTGGCTCTTGCATATCTTCCGACTTGATGAAAAACGGAAGAACGTCCTTGTAGCTCCACCCATCGGCGCCTAGCTCCGCCCACCTGTCGTAGTCCAGCTTGTGGCCTCTGATGGCGACCATGCTGTAGAGGTTTGAAGTCCCGCCCAGAACCTTGCCTCGGGGCCAGAAGGCTCTCTGGGGGGGGGGAAGAAAAGGTCATGAAAGGTTACGTCAGGACAAGGGTCCTAACTCTAGCTGTGACCTGGTCACGTGTCATGTACTCACCTGGTCACGTGTCATGTACTCACCTGGTCACGTGTCATGTACTCACCTGGTCACGTGTCATATACTCACCTGGTCACGTGTCATGTACTCAGTCACGTGTCATGTACTCACCTGGTCACGTGTCATCTGCTCACCTGGTCACGTGTCATGTACTCACCTGGTCACGTGTCATGTACTCGCCTGGTCACGTGTCATGTACTCACCTGGTCACGAGTCATGTACTCACCTGGTCACGTGTCATGTACTCACCTGGTCATGTGTCATTTACTCATCTGGTCATGTGCCATGTACTCACCTGGTCACGTGTTATGTACTCACCTGGTCACGTGTCATGTACTCATCTGGTCATGTGTCATTTACTCAACTGGTCACGTGTCATGTACTCACCTGGTCATGTGTCATTTACTCACCTGGTCACGTGTTATGTACTCACCTGGTCACGTGTCATGTACTCATCTGGTCACGTGTCATGTACTCACCTGGTCACGTGTCGTGTACTCACCTGGTCACGTGTCATGTACTCACCTGGTCACGTGTCGTGTACTCACCTGGTCTGGTCACGTGTCATGTACTCACCTGGTCACATGTCATGTACTCACCTGGTCGCGTGTCATGTACTCACCTGGTCACGTGTCGTGTACTCACCTGGTCACGTGTCATGTACTTACCTGGTCACGTGTCATGTACTCACCTGGTCACGTGTCGTGTACTCAACTGGTCACGTGTCGTGTACTCACATGGTCACGTGTCATGTACTCACCTGGCCACTCACCTGGTCAAGTGTCATGTACTCACCTGTCCACTCACCTGGTCACGTGTCATGTACTCACCTGGTCACGTGTCATGCACTCACCTGGTCACGTGTCATGCACTCACCTGGTCACGTGTCATGTACTCACCTGGTCACGTGTCATGTACTCACCTGGTCACGTGTCATGTACTCACCTGGTCACGTGTCATGTACTCACATGGTCACGTGTCATGTACTCACCTGGTCACGTGTCGTCTTCTCACCTGGTCACGTGTCATCTACTCACCTGGTCACGTGTCATGTACTCACCTGGTCACGTGTCATGTACTCACCTGCCCATTAAACCCCCTAAGCCCGTGTTTCTGCGGCTCCGTGTAGTACTCCCAGTCGTGTTTTGAGTGCATGTTCAGGTGGGACAGCCCGGGGGTCATGATGTTGAAGTCCCCCCGGTCGTCTCCCCCTGCCTCCAGCAGCAAGACCGTCACGTCCTTGACCTCAGACAAGCGGCTGGCCACCACACAACCAGCAGACCCTGCGCCGACTGGACAAGACAGGTGGACAATGTTTAGATAGACAAGACAGGTGGACAAGACAGGTGGACAATGTTTAGATGGACAAGACAGGTGGACAAGACAGGTGGACAATGTTTAGATGGACAAGACAGGTGGACAATGTTTAGATGGACAAGACAGGTGGACAATGTTTAGGAGGACAAGACAGATGGACAATGTTTAGATGGACAAGACAGGTGGACAATGTTTAGATGGACAAGACAGGTGGACAATGGTTAGATGGACAAGACAGATGGACAATGTTTAGATAGACAAGACAGGTGGACAATGTTTAGCTGGACAAGACAGGTGGACAATGTTTAGCTGGACAAAACAGGTGGACAATGTTTAGATGGACAAGACAGATGGACAATGTTTAGCTGGACAAGACAGATGGACAATGTTTAGATGGACAAGACAGGTGGACAATGGTTAGATGGACAAGACAGGTGGACAATGGTTAGATGGACAAGACAGGTGGACAATGTTTAGATGGACAAGACAGGTGGACAATGTTTAGATGGACAAGACAGGTGGACAATGGTTAGATGGACAAGACAGATGGACAATGGTTAGATGGACAGGACAGATGGACAATGTTTAGATGGACAGGACAGATGGACAATGTTTAGATGGACAGGACAGATGGACAATGTTTAGATGGACAAGACAGATGGACAATGTTTAGATGGACAAGACAGGTGGACAATGGTTAGATGGACAAGACAGGTGGACAAGACAGATGGACAATGTTTAGATGGACAAGACAGGTGGACAATGTTTAGCTGGACAAGACAGATGGACAAGACAGATGGACAATGTTTAGATGGACAAGACAGGTGGACAATGTTTAGATAGACAAGACAAGTGGACAATGTTTAGATGGACAAGACAGGTGGACAATGTTTAGATGGACAAGACAGGTGGACAATGTTTAGATGTACAAGACAGATGGACAATGTTTAGCTGGACAAGACAGGTGGACAATGTTTAGCTGGACAAGACAGATGGGCAAGACAGATGGACAATGTTTAGATGGACAAGACCGATGGACAATGTTTAGCTGGACAAGACAGATGGACAAGACAGATGGACAATGTTTAGCTGGACAAGACAGATGGACAATGTTTAGATTGACAAGACAGATGGACTATATTTAGATGGACAAGACAGATGGACAATGTTTAGATAGACAAGACAGATGGACAATGTTTAGCTGGACAAGACAGGTGGACAATGGTTAGCTGGACAAGACAGATGGACAATGTTTAGATAGACAAGACAGATGGACAATGTTTAGATTGACAAGACAGATGGACAATATTTAGATGGACAAGACAGATGGACAATGTTTAGCTGGACAAGACAGGTGGACAATGTTTAGATGGACAAGACAGGTGGACAATGTTTAGATGGACAAGACAGATGGATAATTTTTAGATGGACAAGACAGGTGGACAAGACAGGTGGACAAGACAGGTGGACAATGTTTAGATGGACAAGACAGATGGACAATGTTTAGATGGACAAGACAGTTGGACAATGTTTAGATGGACAAGACAGATGGACAATGTTTAGCTGGACAAGACAGCTGGACAATTTTTAGATGGACAAGACAGGTGGACAAGACAGGTGGACAAGACAGGTGGACAATGTTTAGATGGACAAGACAGGTGGACAATGTTTAGATGGACAAGACAGATGGATAATGTTTAGATGGACAAGACAGATGGACAATGTTTAGCTGGACAAGACGGATGGACAATGTTTAGCTGGACAAGACAGGTGGACAATGTTTAGATGAACAAGACAGATAGACAATGTTTAGCTGGACAAGACAGATGGACAATGTTTAGCTGGACAAGACAGATGGACAAGACAGGTGGACAATGTTTAGCTGGACAAAACAGGTGGACAATGTTTAGATGGACAAGACAGATGGACAATGTTTAGCTGGACAAGACAGATGGACAATGTTTAGATGGACAAGACAGGTGGACAATGGTTAGATGGACAAGACAGGTGGACAATGGTTAGATGGACAAGACAGGTGGACAATGTTTAGATGGACAAGACAGGTGGACAATGTTTAGATGGACAAGACAGGTGGACAATGGTTAGATGGACAAGACAGATGGACAATGGTTAGATGGACAGGACAGATGGACAATGTTTAGATGGACAGGACAGATGGACAATGTTTAGATGGACAGGACAGATGGACAATGTTTAGATGGACAAGACAGATGGACAATGTTTAGATGGACAAGACAGGTGGGCAATGGTTAGATGGACAAGACAGGTGGACAAGACAGATGGACAATGTTTAGATGGACAAGACAGGTGGACAATGTTTAGCTGGACAAGACAGATGGACAAGACAGATGGACAATGTTTAGATGGACAAGACAGGTGGACAATGTTTAGATAGACAAGACAAGTGGACAATGTTTAGATGGACAAGACAGGTGGACAATGTTTAGATGGACAAGACAGGTGGACAATGTTTAGATGTACAAGACAGATGGACAATGTTTAGCTGGACAAGACAGGTGGACAATGTTTAGCTGGACAAGACAGATGGACAAGACAGATGGACAATGTTTAGATGGACAAGACCGATGGACAATGTTTAGCTGGACAAGACAGATGGACAATGTTTAGCTGGACAAGACAGATGGACAATGTTTAGATTGACAAGACAGATGGACTATATTTAGATGGACAAGACAGATGGACAATGTTTAGATAGACAAGACAGATGGACAATGTTTAGCTGGACAAGACAGGTGGACAATGGTTAGCTGGACAAGACAGATGGACAATGTTTAGATAGACAAGACAGATGGACAATGTTTAGATTGACAAGACAGATGGACAATATTTAGATGGACAAGACAGATGGACAATGTTTAGCTGGACAAGACAGGTGGACAATGTTTAGATGGACAAGACAGGTGGACAATGTTTAGATGGACAAGACAGATGGATAATTTTTAGATGGACAAGACAGGTGGACAAGACAGGTGGACAAGACAGGTGGACAATGTTTAGATGGACAAGACAGATGGACAATGTTTAGATGGACAAGACAGTTGGACAATGTTTAGATGGACAAGACAGATGGACAATGTTTAGCTGGACAAGACAGCTGGACAATTTTTAGATGGACAAGACAGGTGGACAAGACAGGTGGACAAGACAGGTGGACAATGTTTAGATGGACAAGACAGGTGGACAATGTTTAGATGGACAAGACAGATGGATAATGTTTAGATGGACAAGACAGATGGACAATGTTTAGCTGGACAAGACGGATGGACAATGTTTAGCTGGACAAGACAGGTGGACAATGTTTAGATGAACAAGACAGATAGACAATGTTTAGCTGGACAAGACAGATGGACAATGTTTAGCTGGACAAGACAGATGGACAAGACAGGTGGACAATGTTTAGCTGGACAAGACAGGTGGAAAATGTTTAGATGGACAAGACAGGTGGACAATTTTTAGATAGATAAGACAGATGGACAAGACAGATGGACAATGTTTAGATGAACAAGACAGATAGACAATGTTTAGCTGGACAAGACAGATGGATAATATTTAGATGGACAAGACTGATGGACAAGACAGATGGACAATGTTTAGATGGACAAGACAGGTGGACAATGTTTAGCTGGACAAGACAGATGGACAATATTTAGATGGACAAGACTGATGGACAAGACAGATGGACAATGTTTAGATGGACAAGACAGGTGGACAAGACAGATGGACAAGACAGGTGGACAATGTTTAGATGGACAAGACAGGTGGACAAGACAGATGGACAAGACAGGTGGACAATGTTTAGATGGACAAGACAGGTGGACAAGACAGATGGACAAGACAGGTGGACAATGTTTAGATGGACAAGACAGATGGACAAGACAAGTTGACAATGTTTAGCTGGACAAGACAGGTGGACAATGTTTAGATGAACAAGACAGATGGACAATGGTTAGCTGGACAAGACGGATGGACAAGACAGATGGCAGTGGCGTAGCGAGGTCGGGTGTCACCCGGTGCGGCACTTAATGGTGTCACCCCCAGAGGCGTAGCGACCCTTACCGGGGACAAACTTTCAAGTTTTCGATTTGCACCCACCCTCAAGTTTTTCTCCATTTATTTTGCTATTTTTTGCCTTGGTGTCACCCCCTTAAATGGTGTCACCCGGTGCGGTCCGCACCCCCCGCCCCCACCTCGCTACGCCCCTGACAGATGGACAATGTTTAGCTAAATGTATAAACCTATCAGATATAATTCGGCGAATAAACATTTCTATAATACTTATAGTAATAATAATAATTATAACTATATTAATGATAGATTTAGGCTGCAGAGGATACATGTTGAACCCCTCCACCAAAGAAATCTCTATTGCAAGAGTCAGAATGCACCCCCGCCACGCCCCCCCCCCCCCATGTTCATACACACACACGCACGCACACACACACACTTTCAACAAATTACGAATGAATTCAATTTTTACTCCTGATCCTAAAGATTATCATTTTTCCTCATCAACAAAACTACTACAGCCTACATTGTAAGCCGTCATTCTCTCCCGTCAAATATTTTTGTCGACGCCTATGCATAATCCAATATCGTCTTAATGCCTGTTAATGGATGATGATAAAACCATTAGCCAAAGACGTCTTAAGTTTTTTTTTCTTTCGTCCTTCATTTTCTCTCAAAATTTGGTTTGTGTTCCTTTTTAGCTTATGCGGCTTTTTTTTTCCCTTTACATTCGCTTCCAATAGTTCTAGAATTTGGACACGGGTGTCTGTGGGGTATGTTATCTGATCGTTGGAACTCTGCAACACATTTTGTTGCCGTTCTCTCATGTTATATTGTAATAAAAATTCACATTTCGATAAAAGACCAACATTTCCACTATCAAATAAAGACCAAACTGTTGGCCGAAAGACCAAACTGTTGGCCGAAAGACCAAACTGTTGGCCGAAAGACCAAACTGTTGGCCCAAAACAAAAACAAAACAATATCATGACCCCCAACTAAAACCCAAATGATAACCCCCCTAAAAAAAAAACCGTTTTTTTTTTTAAACTATCAAACTTTCTGAAATCTCTCCCCGTGAAAGATACAAGAGACAAAGAAAAAGCTAAAAAAGAAATAATGACGCCTTTCACTGGGACTTAATTCATCCGTCTGCTGACGCTCATCGGAACCAAACTAAATTGCTCGACAATTTTAAGAGCAGTACTTAAAATAAGTCAAATTTCTGGCGAAAGTAGTCGTAATTAAAATTGTTCTAATTTTTTTAATGGGCGCTCTTTATAACTTTATATACAATTTCGAGCAAAATCTATTGGCTTTTTTACTGACTATAGAAGTGGGAAATTTTTCTGTTCAATAATCCATAATCAGTATTCCATGATCAATGGTCTTTTCAATAATCGATTCTAAATATTCAATTCAATCAATGGGTTTTTTTTTTCAATAATCAATTCGCAATATTCAATTGCAGGAGAGATTCGTGAGTTAACGTTATCATATATATATATATATATATATATATATATATATATGAGTAAGTTTTAGAAAACGTATAACACATCTACACACCCAGCACATACCAGTACTCAAACAAAACTAATCTTTGATGAGAAATAAATTGAATTTCATTTTTTTTCTCTATTGTAATAACAATAAACCGGGAGTGATCTCCCCTAAACTTTCTCGAATATTCTTATATAAATTCACAGGGGATGGAAACTCGGGCTATAGACATGATTTTTAATCCATTTTATATACTTAAAGTTTTAAAAATAGAATAAAATCTCGTAGACAAAAGAATTGCACACCAAGTGAACGCCAAATACAAAAGTGCATAATAGTGCGCAATATTATTAGTACTTTAAAAATTTACATTAGTTTTTTGAGAAATCGGAAGTAGCGTAAATTACTACTTCCGGTCAACGGAAATTACTCAAAATTTAACACAAGGTAGAGAATTAGATCTTTTACTTACATGTGCAATTTCATTTATCTATCTGAAATAGTACTCAAGTTATAGGCTTTTGAAAAATTCAAAGTAGATAAAGTACCACTTCCGGTTGTCGGAAATCGCTCAAAAGTTGATACGGATCTACGATTTTGATATAATACTTATATATGAAATTTCATCAACCTAGCTGTAACGATACTCAAGTAATCGTGTTTACACACAGACAGACACACACACACACTGACATACGGACAAGATTGCAAAATTATGTTTTTCCGTATGAGTGAGGTGTAAAAACATCGAGATTTGTAAAAATCTTGATTTTTTTTTTTTTTTGCACGATTACAAGACTTTCTCTATACTTCGTATATACGAGAAAGTAAAAAAGCATCGTCGTTGTGTAATTACAGCTTGGGATATAATTAACTTTTTTTCATTAAAGACAAATTCACAGATGGGACATGTCATCACCGCCATTTTGCTGACGTCATGATGTTTAATTTATCTTAAAATTTGTGTTTGTTTAATTTTCTCTTGTAATGTGTGGGCTTCAACTGAGGTGGGGTTTTTTTTTCCACTGAAATAACGTTAAGATATTTCAGGTAAAATGTAATTTAAAATGACCGTTTCGGCTTTTAAAACACATCGTAAATCTAAATGTGCTAACAGTTTTGTGGTCTTTTTATTTTTGGAAATGAATTTACTTTTAAAAAAAAATTCATAAAAAACGTTTTAATAACAAGCTTTTATGTAATGATGCACTAAAAAGTAGAAAATAAATTATAGACTACTATTTAAATAACTATAAAGAAAAGCGTGGGTCACTTTAGTATCTATTGGATACCTTTACTAATGTTAAGGAAGACACCCACGCTTTTCTTTATAGTTATTTAAATAGTAGTCTATAATTTATTTTCTACTTTTTAGTGCATCATTACATAAAAGCTTGTTATTAAAACGTTTTTTATGAATTTTTTTTCAGTACTTTACATGTTTTATCTACAATAGAGTTACATGACTAAAAACCATTGCGCGCCTACTGAATATCACGTTCAGTAGGCGCGCAATGGTTTTTGAACGCAGCCATTACGTGGTCGTGATGGCGCAGCTATTGATGACGCGTGTGGTGTGGTTGGCTAGACATGCCTACTAATTCGGTCCAAATTTTAATTAATTCATAAAAAATCAATTAGGCATCCAATTAAGTCAAATTTAGTTTCAGATTGCATTGTCTTCATGTCTTGACCCACGTGCCAACTTTGAATCGTGTCGGTCAAGTAGAACTGTCCGAATTTTCACTCCTGCGTTTCCGTCAAGACAGACAGACAGAGGAAGTGAGTTAAATAAAAGCTTGTAAAAACTGATTATCAAAGCATTTTATTATTTTTAACTTTTTTTTTTTAAAGACTGGATAAAGCGATAGATGATATTTTTGTTGATTTATATTTTAAACTTGTTAAATGAAGGATTCCATGAAAGTTTTAACTACTTATTTTTTAAACTGCTTAATGTCGTAATGCATGATAATGTTACTGATACAATCTCAGAGTAGAATTTTTTGGAAATGTAAGGACGTCTGTTTGTTTAAATTTGCCGTGTATCAATTTTTTCATTTGAATATATTCACACTGCTTACATATTTTTGTTAAATTCGCACTGCTTACATATTTGTCATTTGGATACATTCGCGAAAGCAGCCGGAATATCGAGGGCCTAGATTGGAGGAGTCGCCCAAAACAGTATGCTGTAAAGGTGTGTTTGCGTCATTGTGTCTCACAATGGGTTCACAGGTGATGTTAATGATAATGATTGTAGAGGGTGGGGTCAAAAACAGCAATCTGGAAGTCAATTTCAATTTAGATGGATGAATGTCATGCTTGTTTTACCGGCCCAGCTCGTGTGATGGCATACAGTCATGACGTCCTATAATGCTGGCTATTCCAGTACTGGAGGAACCAAGGTCTACCGCAGAGGCGTAGCGACCCTTCCCGGCGCCCGGGGACATATGTCCCCCCACCCGCCCCGCCCCCCCCCCCCCTCGCTACGCCTCTGGTCTATCGATAAGGACATTAAGCCCGGCCTGAGGTGGGCTTGTCCACGTTTTTCGAAGGGCTTCAACATTTCTGTGATGTCCGTTGGTGCTGTCTGGTTGGATGTCATCATGTTTCACGTGTCACTGATATCCGTTGGTGTGTTCTATGCATGACGTCATATTCCACATGGCAAAGTATCGAGAAAAATGGTCCCACAGAGGTAACTCTTCATCACTCCTGAGGTCGTAGAACGACCCTCGGAGGAACGAAAAAAACTTGATATATCTTAGTGAAAACTCCGAAAGAAGTGACCGTTCCGAATTTTCCAATGTAAACATTGATAATTTGGTGAAAAACGATGACTATTTGCAAAACAGTTTTTAGGGTACTTTGGCTCTGCACATCTGGCTCATTATTTCAATAAAACTGGGTAGATGAATTGGCCTAATAGAAAAACTATTGCAGCCTCTACTCACACGGCGGTGGCTAAAAAGTGACCGCCAGTGAAATTCTTTTAACAAGCTATTTATCGAAAAAAAAATGTGCCGAACGACCCCCTTGATATTTTGTGAAGTCGTATAAAAACGCCTATGGATGTCAGAAAAAAAACTTGCCATATCTGAGAAAAATCGGTAAAGCGGTCAAAACTGACCAGTCGTATTTCCCTATATAATCATTGTAATTTATGTAAAAACGGGGTATTTCAACAAAAGATTTTAGGGTACTTAACCTCTGTACATCTGGCTGATTTTTTGCATGGACTCTAAGCCCTGGTTGAGGGCTAAAAAATGACCGCAAGTGAAATTCTTCTGATATCATTTATATATTATAAACAAAATTGCCGATGACGTCAATGCTGCAGTACTTACTGACGTCATAGCTGCTGTACTTACTGACGTCATAGCTGCTGTACTTACTGACGTCATAGCTGCTGTACTTACTGACGTCATAGCTGCTGTACTTACTGACGTCATAGCTGCAGTACTTACTGACGTCATAGCTGCTGTACTTACTGACGTCATAGCTGCTGTACTTACTGACGTCATAGCTGCTGTACTTACTGACGTCATAGCTGCCGTACTTACTGACGTCATAGCGGCTGTACTTACTGACGTCATAGCTGCAGTACTTACTGACGTCATAGCTGCTGTACTTACTGACGTCATAGCTGCTGTACTTACTGACGTCATAGCTGCTGTACTTACTGACGTCATAGCTGCTGTACTTACTGACGTCATAGCTGTTGTACTTACTGACGACATAGCTGCTGTACTTACTGACGACATAGCTGCTGTACTTACTGACGTCATAGCTGCTGTACTTACTGACGTCATAGCTGCTGTACTTACTGACGTCATAGCTGCTGTACTTACTGACGTCATAGCTGCTGTACTTACTGACGTCATAGCTGCTGTACTTACTGACGATGTAATCATAGCTGGAGTTCATCTTCCCCGCCAGCCCAGCTCCCGGCTCCGGCTCCCCATTGAGGTACGTGTACAGCACATAGGCCACCACTCCGACCTGCACAGCCGTCAGAAGGTTGAACATGGCGTCACTCTCTGACACTCTGTAGTACTCACTTCGACACTCCTAGTACACACTTCGACACTCCTAGTACACACTTCGACACTCCTAGTACACACTTCGACACTCCTAGCACACACTCCGACACTCTGGCTACACACTTGAAGCTTTGTCGTGTCAACAAGAAAGGAACATATGACAGGCTGAGTTGCCAGATAAAAAAACTGGATTTCTAACTAAGAGTTGTGGATTTTTTTCCATTGAATTTGTTTATCCAAAATAAGTGGGTCAAGGTCTAGTGTCAAAGATAGTGGGGAAAATAAAAGGCAAATACTTTTACGTGGTAGACTATATAGATGTGTTGTACAGAGGGGTTGTTAGAGCGTAAAGCTGTACATGGTGCTGTTAGAGAGTAAAGCTGTACATGGTGCTGTTAGAGAGTAAAGCTGTACATGGTGCTGTTAGAGAGTAAAGCTGTACATGGTGCTGTTAGAGAGTAAAGCTGTACATGGGGCTGTGAAAGCATGAAGCTGTACCCTCTACTTTGTATTATTGTAATGCACGGTGTTGTAAACGAAGGGAACGACCTCAACCTGGTGTGAAAAAGACCTACAAGAAGACCTACTCATTGTAATGTAAACAAGAGGATCTACTCAACCCTAGTCAAACGGTGCCGTAATAGGCCTACATCATCTTTAGACGGGGCAATAACTCTTATAGATATAAAGACGGGGAGGTAACTTTTGAGGTTGTAATATAAACTAGAGCGTGAATCCACTTTACACAATTACATGGAGCTGATGAACTGAATTAAAGCTGTGAATAAAACGCCAGAACATGTTTAATTGATCTAAAATTGTCAGGCATCAAGCGCCTTTGTTTGTTTTTGTTTTGTTTTTTATACGGGGGAGTAGTCACTTTACATAACAATCATACAAGTAAAATACATCTATCAAATAGTAAGACAATATCTAGGTATTATCCAATCAATAAGTCAAGTATTAAAACGGAAAAAAAAACTAAAACGATCCCGTCTAAAGTTAAGCCATCTAAAATGTCTGTCCAAAAGCTAAAACTAGCCTATAAAACAAAAAGTAACGAAACAAAAAAAATCTCGATCACCATGTCTAGTCTGTCTGCTACTTACTGTAAGACAAGATTAGCCGTGTCGTTATACTTCTAATCTTATTTATTCCTGCTCTACTTCAGTATCACTGTGTCATTGTAGATTTACATTTTTTTTAAGGAATACAAATTTGAGCATACACTATCATGTGGTTTTTTTTTTCATGTCAGCACATTTTTCATACAAACGTGCGTTTCAAATTTACAACAAAAAATGCTTTAAGACTTGGTTAAATGTGCGGTTGTGTTTAACCTAGGACTGTATAGTGTCATTAATAGGCCCTCCATAGATGACGTCAGTTTGGTCAAGTTTTGAACCCCCCCCCCAACCACCCCACCCCCAAATCCTTATTGCTATTTGGTAACAAAGAGGGCCGCTGCCCCATAACTTAGTTCATAACACCGCCTTGTCCACAACACACCACCCCCACACCCACACCCTCCCCCACCGCTCATTCAATACCCATCATTCTTAACGAAAAAAAAATTTAACCCCCCCCCCCCCCTCATCGTTATGTTCAAGAAATACAAAAATACCACATTGTTTTTCTTGAACACTAGGCATGCTGCCCAGCTTCGCGTAGGCTTTCGAAAACATTGAGAATTTGAATTCTTAATTAATTCGCCCATATGTGACGCCGGTCAGTCGAGGTCAGTTTTGAACCCCTCATCGTAGACTTTTCGGCCAACCGGCCCCCGTGTTCTGTCGCCCCAAAGCAAGATCCTGTCAAATTTGAAGCGCCTGCGGCGCCGGGAAGTGCCCTGTCGGGAACCCGACAACTTGGCTTTATATATTATAGAGATTAGCAAATTGCATAGATAAACAAAGATTTCAATAAAGTAATTAAGGCCTGAAATAATTTAGTATAGAAATTTATTATTTGAATAGATTCTAGATCTAGGTAGGGTCTACATCTCTGTAAGTCTAGTTTTTCCGTAGATCTAGATCATCTAGATCTAGAATCTCTAGATCTAGATGATCTAGAATCTCTAGATCTAGAATCTCTAGATCTAGAATCCAGATAGATGAAATATTTTTTTTTAAGTTTAGGCCGAGAAAATCGTATTGTAAACATTTCATAGCGTACATAGCTCGAAATCATATTTAAATGAAATTATTATTTATTATTATTCTAAACTCGGAAGATGACGTCATCAGTTTCGTGCTCTTTTTTAGTGTAAACAATAAGCGACGTCATTGTTAAATGCGTTCTTGTCCCAAGTTTAAACACTTTTCCGGTTGCATTGAACATATGCAAAACGTCATCGTTTTCGTCTGGGAAATTCCTCCCCTCAAAATGCGTCTCATTAATCCAACTCAAGTCAACAATCATATTCAGAGCTTTTTTTTTTTTTACCTCGTCGATAATTTGTGATGAGCCATATTTTCAACTCTCGACATATGCCCGAGGCCTGATTTAAACAAATAAATTATTTAGTCACCGTATGATGGGCTATAAAGGGAAGTAACCTAATCGTGTAGCAATTACCTCCCCTGACCGCGCGTGTCAATGGCCGTCAAGCAGGAACTAAAACTTGTCAACAACTCTTGGACTCGCTTCATATTTATATAGGCTACACGTGTTTGGAGGTCGTCCATGAATGACGTCACGCACCACCAGAGGACCTATCACACTGACCCCTCCTCGGATACATCTCGTGACTATATGTATAGCGCCTATATCCACGTATCATCACCTTTTCCCGTCTGTGCCCATGAGGCTGATAAAGTAGATTTCATCTGTTTCAATCACCTCGGAATACAGAGGATAGTGTGCTCAGCCCAGCCGCCTATGTTTCCCTAACGTTAGACAGGTACCCATCAGAGCTGAGTGAACTCAGGGACGTCATACGTACTGGAGCCCGAGATCCGAACTCAAGATTTTCGCGGTAGCAGTTTAGCGCTATACCGCTCAGCCACACCGAGGATGCGACATCAAAATTATCCCCATTCTCATTCATGTGTATGAATAGGCCTAATATAATTGTAAAATAAAATCTAATAATGAGCGAAGAATTTTATGTCTTATGGTTTTGCCGTAACAAAAGTGTTTACACAACGCTACAGTTAGTCACGGTTCAGATTTATTTTTATTGTGAATAAAATGACTTGTATTGCACCAACAAAATAAAAACCCCACACAAACTATATCTTTAGTTCTCAGATACGGAAACCACTCCTAACACCTAACCAATCTGAAATCCACATGATGGACTTCTAATATATTATTACTCAGAGGCGTAGCGAGGGGGCGGGGGGTGCGGACCGCACCGGGTGACGCCATTTAGAGGGGTGACACCAAGGCAAAAAATAGCAAAATATATAGAGAAAAACTTGAGGGGGGGTGCAAATCGAAAACTTGAAAGTTTGTCCTCGGGAAGGGTCGCTACGCCTCTGGGGGTGACACCATTAAGTGCCGCACCGGGTGACACCCGACCTCGCTACGCCACTGTTATTACTATATAACTGGAAATGTTTGTCTTGGAATGATTCCAATGCTAGAAAATGAAAATACAAATAAGTACAGAAGTGTAACAGCTAGTTAGCATAGCAACCTTCCACCCCCATGACATGGTATCGTCCAACCAAAGTTCGTGGCCAGGTTTCATCCCATGTACTTCTCGGCTGTGAAAAGCTGTGAAAATTTGGTTCGAGGCTGCGAAACGAACATAACTTGCGAGATGGGAGGTTGAGATCTGTGTGGCACGGGGGGGAATGAGGGCAGATCTATTTCAAATTTCACGCAGATGATCTAAGAAATTGGCTCGTTATCTAGTTGGTTATTCGTCTGCTCGCTCTTTGCGTCTGCTAAATTTTGTCGTGGTTTTTTTGTTTACTTTACCAACCGGCATACTCTTTTTGTTCTTACACAAGTAAGCTTGAGTATTACTCTTCCAAGTCAAAATTCTGTCGTTACTTTGGTCAAATGAAAATGTGTCTGTAAACATAAGCCCTGTTTGATGCAATATCCGCGCAATAAGGTTATCGGAATCCAAAAGTTGAATTTTACACGACTGGGCATAAAGGGAGGTAAATGCCAGTGAATGGTAAAATTTGAAAACTAAGCACCCAAGGCTGTACCGCTCAATTAACCAAAATAAATTACCATTAGAACATTAAAAAAAATAATCTAATGAAACTATTACACCGGGAATTTTTCCTGGCGGCCCTCTGAGATTTTTCCCTGTGTCCCTGCGGCCTAGTCCATCCCCCGGTATTAAGGATCTGCAGAGATGTATTCAGGGTTTTGAGTAAGTGAAATAACTAATTTTTTTTTCACCTCAGACACGTAATTTATAGCGTCAGTTGTGTGTTCGCTTTAGTATTACAGTTTTCATCACCGGCTTGTGAGGACTTATACAGATTTACAATAGTAATATTTCTTTCTTACTTGTAGCCTACTTTCATTCATTTAAGATGATTTACTTATACATAGATCTAATACAAAACGTCTAAATATAAAGAAAAAATTAAAAATTTAAAAATTAAAAAAAAACAACCTGAAACTGAAAATGCAAATGTGTCATTAAATGATGATTCAATGGATTTCTTTTCCTCGGCGTGGTGGGCTGAGGGGACGGGGGGCGGGAGAGGGTGGAATTCGGGTTTTTAAGTAGAGCTGAAATAAATTTGGGATTACAGAGAATTAAAATGATACAAATTTTAAGCAATCGGAAAAGTTTAATTATTACAATGAGACACGTCAAAGCAAACACTCTTCCCTTTCAAACATCTATATCTATACAGTCCTCAAACAATTTTTTTTAATTAATTTAATTGTTTTTGCTCAATATAAAGCAATTGTAATCTTCAGATGCAGGTGCCGATGCCAATACAGCTAAAGCTACTGCGGCCCCTTCCATATTTAAACACAATGTTATGAAAGTATGGCGATCGGATGACTCGAGTAAAAAATTATACATATATATATATATATATATATATATATATATATATATATATATATATATATATATATATATATATATATATATATATAGTTTAAAAAACATTCCAGTTGTTGTTTTCAAACACAGTAAAAACATTTTGACTTTGTGACCTCCCTTGTCCAGAATGTCAAGATATATTTTAGAGGACTAAAAAAAACTGTTGAAATTCTATCACCGTAAAGTGAAACTTGTAATTTAGCCCAACTGACAAAAACTGACCTACTTTTATGTTGTCTGATGAGAGAAAGTGACAAAACGTCAGCCACCGGAAATGGGGCTCCATTGTTTTATTTGATTTTTTTTTATTTTTTTTATTTTATTTTCCACCGTGCGATCATTAAAAAGAATAAAAGAGTGATTGGTCGTCTGTTTTGGTGTCTAGCGGTGTCAACAATAGCATCAAACGGGTTAGATTCTCAAACCGGAGTTTGAATAGTTTAGAAATTATTTCGCAGTCGCACTGAAAATTTTAAGATTTTTTTTTAAAATGTGATTATGTATAGGTTTTTTTTATCTCTTGTACAAAGCATTGAATGTGTTTGTTGCTATTGATAGTGTACGGCTTCTTAGAAGTTGAAATTGACAAAAAAACGTTTTATATCAATGTCAGAAATAACTGTAATGTCCAGCTCAACCAGTCTGCCCTTTCTGGTTGCCTTTGGATACCACGGGAATCTTTGTTGCCAAGTATTTGCATAAAACAATTTGATTTCGTTTATCATAGAACTTCTATCATTATATATATATGTATATATGTTACGGTCAAAGCCCGAAGTCGGCCAATGCTAGGATTGGCCGGCCAATCCGCGCATTGGCCAATATCGCCTCCCATAGGTCGCCATATATATATATATATACTAGCCGTCCCGGCCAGGCCCTGCTCTGGCTTCTGTGAAAAACCTTTCTGTTAAAGACCATTACCTGTGTGTTTAGTAATCATCATAAACCCGGCATTGCCCACCCAAACCACAACCAACCAAAACCAAAACAACAAAACGCAAACATAATGCTAACACAATTACAAATACAAACGAAAACAAAAACTTAACAACAAACACAACCACACCCACAAACACCAATACAAACACAAAGAAAAAACAAACAAAAAAGCAAACGAAAACAAAAACCTAACAACAAACCCAACCACAAACACCAATACCAACAAAAAAAAAATCAACGAAAAAAGCAAACGAAAACAAACCAAATCCAAATGCAAAACCAACCAAAAACACAAATACAAACCCAAACAAAAAAAACACAAACAAAAACGAAAAAAGAAAGAACAAAAACGAACCAAATTAAAACGCAACCACTAACGCAAACCCACCTAAACACAAAGAAAACACTAACGCGAACATAAACGCCCGGGGCGGAATCACCTGTTTTAGCTTAATGAACGACTATAGTACCCCAACTTATTCACAGTCTTTTGCACTCACTTAAACGAACGCGCCTGTTTCAATTTAATAAACAATTTTAATACTCCAAGCTTATCCGTAAAATACCTACAACATTTGCACTTGATCAATCCCCGCTAATTATGTAATTATTTTTTTTCCCAACACCAAAACAAAGTAATTAAAAAGTAAATTATTTTCACGGAATGCAATGGTTTTATAAAGGGAAGTAATTGTGTTTTTCCTAATTTATCAAAGGGAAGTAAGTGCTATAGGACTAAATAAAGACATAATTAGAATTTTTGTAAAAGATGATATTTTTTTAAAACTTGTGTTGAATGAACATGCCGACAATTATTACTATAATTTGAAAAATGAAAATTATTTCCCAACACTTTCAATGGTAATTTTTTAGCTCATAAATTTAGACAAATGCGCACGCTAATTTTCTAACACTTAAATTCGTACAATTCCAACGACATACAAATGCATTACATACAGAACTGAGCTTTATATATTAGATATATATATATATATGAAAATAAATTCAATCCTAGCAAAATAGAATTAATTATAATCAATTCAAATAAAAAAATAGTACTAATATACTTTGCTCATTTTAAAGACGATAACTTATCACAGAACTTTTTTTTTTTTACGATGGACTGATCTTATGCCACACGAGTTTGTGTATGCTTCATGTGAGATAGAGCAGAAATGGCCACTGATCAACAAAGGTGAACAACCTTGAAAGAGCTAGACACCACCTATGTAAACTCCACGCCAGACATACCTTTCTATCAACTTATCCAGAGGTGACTTCTGGATTTTTGAGAGTACACGGAAGTCTTATCGGAAAAATAGTTCCAACACCAAAGCCTTTAAGTTAAAGGTTAATATATAACAACAAAAAACCACCGTAGCGAATATTTATGTTCAACTTTGCCAGCACTTAAGGGAAGCAGAAATGTTCATCTTTTATTCATTGTGTGTTACGTGCGTGAATTACATCCTCCAGTGCATTGATCTTTTAGGACCTGCTATTCTATATTAGAAGCACATTTGTGATTCATTCCGTAGGGGGTGCTTTCTTTCGGGAAAAAAATGCGCCCCTGAGTATTTACCCCTCCCCTCTTCAACTCCATAGTGCCGAAAATCTGGTTTTCTGCGTATTTTCATTAATTTTTCACTACAATCCACTTCTTATTTCTCTCATAAAGCTGAAACATTAAACCAAAATATAATCATAAACACACCCTAAAACTCAGACTAAAAGCTAAATGTAAAAAGGAACAAAGTAGGCATACAGAAGTTTTCAGCTAAACCTAGCTAGCAGCCATGTTATGCTGGTATTCAACCTACAAAGGGAAACAACCCATTATTATTATTTTGGGGCCAAATTGGCCTGGTTTTGTTGTCTACCCTGGGAAGGAGGGAAGGAAACAACGCAATAGTGTGACGTAGTACTTTGTAAGGTCAAAATTAGACAAAATAAGCATGACGTTATTTACGGACGACAAGTTTTGTTTTTCCAATCTACCCAAGTAAATTATCCATGGTGTCAGCCGTTTATCGATGATCGGTGAAATTAGCATTATTATAAATGTGTTTCCCCCTCCCCACTATCTTTTCTGTTTTTTTTTGTTGTTGTCTGGCATCAACATCTTGATTTAATCATTTGCGGAGCTCCCCTATGGAGCAGAGAGCTGCAATCACACACTTCCACCGGACTCAATTTTGGCTGCGGATGTTAAGGTGAGTAAAGTCAGTTCTAATGTAGGTGTCAGAAATTATTTTTTGTACATTTTTTGAAAAAGACGTATTTGTTTATTCAATAATTTTATCAAAAAGTGAATTGCAATCCAATTACTTTAAATAGTGATTTACTTTTTAAGTGGGAAAACAATTAGGCCTGTTCTCTGTGTATGTGTTTGTGTTGGATTCCAAAGATTGAGTATGTGCCATGTACTTAAACACTAAAACATGGCTTTTAAGGGTGTCGGGAAAAAAAAGTTAAAAACTGAAGTTTAAAACGTCATAACTTGCTTACTACCTGAGATATATTAACAAATTTGGTAACCACACTAAAGATGTATTAACAAATTCAGTATCCACTTTCCAAGAATTCAGAGTTCGTTGATATAACGACATTATGAAGAGCTGGGACAGTTTCTTAAAAATTGGTTTTAGTTTCAAGGTAGATAAATCGTGAAAATAATCTCATCATATTATTTAAAGGTTACCTTAAAATTTAAACGTAAATGGTAACTGATTGTTGTCAAAGATTGTAAAACAGTTTCATATATTTCCAAGTTGATCTGTCATGTGTTATCTCGACAGTATGTCATGTGACAGCAAGTTGGTTCTGCCAGTCTTTATGACAGTATACTAAAGACTGTCACATAAAAAAAAAACCAACACTCACATAGTGAAACCAACAGAATGATGATACATCTTTAATGTTTACAATGACACAACAACGTATAAAACACCAGTGAAATCATGCCAGTTTCCCTTCTTCCTTCAGCACCCCCAGCTCCCCTATGCAGCCCTTGAGTATGTCCTGTTTCTCAGCAAAATACTTCTCATACCAGCGTATGTGTTCCAGCTTCTCTGGCACTGTGATGTATGGGTTGAGGCTCAGACCCAGGGTGACCAGTTCCATGAACTTCCTCACTGGCCCCTTGTCTGGGAACTTGGACAAGTGCTGGTTCAGGAATATGTGGTCATGGAACTTGTATTTGCGTTCTTCATGGAAGTCTGAAAGTGATGGCGGTATGGTTTACTAACAGAGTTAAAGACAAATAATTTTTAAAATTTAGTTTTTAACTATTTTGTGCAATGTTTTCTCTAATGTTTAAACACAATATAACTCCACAGTAAAAGAACTGCTTAATGTTTAAAAGACACCAGATGAAGAAATAACCTGAATATTTTAAAGACAATTTTGCTCTAACAAGACAATTTTCCCATTGTATAGACCTAATGATATTCCTTCTATATAAACCTGACAATATTCCCTCTACACATCCCTGACAATATTCCCTCTATACAGACTTGAAAATATTCCCTCTATACACTTGACAATATTCCCTCTATACAGACTTGAAAATATTCCCTCTATACACTTGACAATATTCCCTCTATACAGAATTGACAATATTCCCTCTATACAGAATTGACAATATTCCCTCTATACAGACGACAATATTCCCTCTATACACTTGACAATATTCCCTCTATACAGAATTGACAATATTCCCTCTATACAGACGACAATATTCCCTCTATACACTTGACAATATTCCCTCTATACAGAATTGACAATGTCCCCTCTATACACCTGACAATATTCCCTCTATACAGACTTGAAAATATTCTGTCTATATAGACTTGACAATATTGCCTCTACACAGACAGTATAAACCTGACAATATTCCCTCTATACAGACTTGACAATATTCCCTGTATACAGACACTATAGACCTGACAATATTCCCTCTATAAAGACGACAATATTCCCTCTATACAGACCTGACAATATTCCCTCTATACAGACAGTATAAACCTGACAATATTCCCTCTATACAGACCTGACAATATTCCCTCTATACAGACGTGACAATATTCCCTCTATGCACTTGACAATATTCCCTCTATACAGACTTGACAATATTCCCTGTATACAGACACTATAGACCTGACAATATTCCCTCTATAAAGACGACAATATTCCCTCTATACAGACTTGACAATATTCCCTCTATACAGACACTATAGACCTGACAATATTCCCTCTATACAGGCTTGACAATATTCCCTCTACACAGACAGTATAAACCTGACAATATTCCCTCTATGCACTTGACAATATTCCCTCTATACAGGCTTGACAATATTCCCTCTATATAGACTTGACAATATTCCCTCTACACAGACAGTATAAACCTGACAATATTCCCTCTATACAGACTTGACAATATCCCCTCTATACACTTGACAATATTCCCTCTATACAGACAGTGTAGACCTGAGACCCACCTGCTTCATTATCTATGGGGAACGTCCAGAGCTTGCCTTCTTTGGTCCACTGAATCATTTCCTCAAAATGGTTTCTAGGAAGAGGTGCCTGAATTTTCCTCAGGTTTTCTTCATCAACCTGAGCCCACAGATCCTTGGCTGGTTTTGGCTCCTCCACTAAAAAATAAATTCTCATTTAATTCATTCACACACTTTCCAGGTTTACCTGAGCAAAAGGAAGCTTTCTCAAAAAAAAAAGGGGGAAGCTATTTAAAAAAAAAAAAAAAAACATTTTTGCACAAATAAATGACTAAAAATGTACAACACTTTTATCTAGCTCATCTACTCCAGTATCAGTTCTATTTTAAAAAAAAGTAATCACATGGATTCCTTCTGTCGTGTCAAATCATTGAAATTTCAGAATAATGTGTGATTTTCTCATTAAGTTGACAAGACAAACTATGTGGTAGGAACACCCTAGGACCATTGTGAAAAATTTAAGTTAAAAATGTATCAGTAGGCCTACAGTATAGCCCTAATTTTATGAATGTAGTAAAAGCATCAGTTTGAGTTCTGATCATCAGATAAAGTTTAAAAACTTCAGTTTAATCTGGACCCAAGACTTACCTTGTGATTTTATTTTTTCAGCATTGAATATTCCAAGTCTAGGTGCATTTTTCAACGAAGGTAAGTTCTCATTCAACCTAAAATCAATACAACAATTGATACAGTATTATAAGCAACTATTTATGAAATATCTACAAAAGTTAGAGCTTCCTGTGAAGGTAACTCTCTGGTTTATCAAAGGGTATTCAAAATATATTGGGGGGAAAAAGTAAAATATACTTCAAACTAACCTGGATAATCTTTTCCTGTAAGTAACTGAAAAAAAACCCCAATGAAAGTTTTTTACAAATGTATGTACAACCCCAGGTTGTGTTTAAAATACTACTCAAAAAAATGTCCACTATTTCAGGATGTTTCATTTATACAAAATTTTAAACAAGAAAAAAGTTTTACACAATCAAGTATTGTAACTCACCATTGGAAACAACACTAGAAGGCAGAATCTCCATGCTCCCATCCCTTGTCCTCCTTAATTGAGAAAAGAGAATTTTTTGTTTAATGTGTCATGGCATTTGAAAACAGCAGGACCTACATCAACTAGAGCATAAACTAAACAAACTCAACCACTACAGCAGGACCTACATTAACTAGAGCATAAATAAAAAAAAACTCAGCCACTACAGCAGGACCTACATCAACTTGAACATAAACTAAACAAAGCGACTACACAGGACCTACATCAACTAGAGCATAAACTAAACAAACTCAACCACTACAGTAGGACCTACATCAACTAGAGCATAAACTAAACAAAGCCAGCCACTACAGCAGGACCTACATCAACTAGAGCATAAACTAAACAAACTCAACCACTACAGTAGGACCTACATCAATTAGAGCATAAACTAAACAAAGCCAGCCACTACATCAGGACCTACATCAACTAGAGCATAAACTAAACAAAGCCACTACAACAGGACCTACATCAACTAGAGCATAAACTAAACAAAACCACTACAGCAGGACCTACATCAACTAGAGCATAAACTAAACAAACTCAGCCACTACAGCAGGACCTACATCAACTAGAGCATAAACTAAACAAACTCAGCCACTACATCAAGTCACTACAGGGAGCAGAACCTCACCACCCAGAAGAGGACCTGAAGTAACTCACCCACTATAGATTCTACCTATAACCAGGTGAACTTGTTAGTGATCTTACCTGTACATAGGTGATCTGCTCCCAGCTGGTTGGGTAAACCCTGCAGAAAAGAGAACCTTATTAATATATTAAATTGCAGAATTACAGTAAGTTGTCTGAACAAAAACAAACCTGAATGCACAAATCGTATAATTAAAAAATCTCTTACACTTTGAAATTACTCTAGGACTAGTTGTATGACTAGCAAGGACTAGACCAAGGTTTATGACTAGTAAGGACGAGACCAGGGGCGTTTGACAAGCAAGGACTAGACCAGGGGTGTATGACTGCAGTGACAAGGACTAGATCAGGGGTGTATGACTGCATTGACAAGGACTAGACCAGGGGTGTATGACTGCAGTGACAAGGACTAGACCAGGGGTGTATGACTGCAGTGACATGGACTAGACCAGGGGTGTATGACTGCATTGACAACGACTAGACCAGGAGTGTATGACTGCTGTGACAAGGACTAGACCAGGGGTGTATGACAAGCAAGGACTAGACCAGGGGTGTATGACTGCTGTGACAAGGACTAGATCAGGGGTGTATGACAAGCAAGGATTAGACCAGGGGTGTATGACTGCTGTGACAAGGACTAGACCAGGGGTGTATGACTGCAGTGACAAGGACTAGACCAGGGGTGTATGACAAGCAAGGACTAGACCAGGGGTGTATGACTGCAGTGACAACGACTAGACCAGGAGTGTATGACTTCTGTGACAAGGACTAGACCAGGGGTGTATGACAAGCAAGGACTAGACCAGGGGTGTATGACTGCAGTGACAACGACTAGACCAGGAGTGTATGACTTCTGTGACAAGGACTAGACCAGGGGTGTATGACTGCTGTGACAACGACTAGACCAGGGGTGTATGACTGCAGTGACAACGACTAGACCAGGGGTGTATGACTGCTGTGACAACGACTAGACCAGGGGTGTATGACTGCAGTGACAAGGACTAGACCAGGGGTGTATGACTGCAGTGACAACGACTAGACCAGGAGTGTATGACTGCAGTGACAACGACTAGACCAGGGGTGTATGACTGCAGTGACAAGGACTAGACCAGGAGTGTATGACTGCTGTGACAAGGACTAGACCAGGGGTGTATGACTGCAGTGACAAGGACTAGACCAGGGGTGTACGACTAGCAAGGACTAGACCAGGGGTGTATGACAAGCAAGGACTAGACCAGGGGTGTATGACTGCAGTGACAACGACTAGACCAGGGGTGTACGACTAGCAAGGACTAGACCAGGGGTGTATGACTGCAGTGACAAGGACTAGACCAGGGGTGTATGACTGCAGTGACAACGACTAGACCAGGGGTGTATGACTGCTGTGACAAGGACTAGACCAGGGGTGTATGACTAGCAAGGATTAGACCAGGGGTGTATGACTGCTGTGACAAGGACTAGACGGGTGTATGACTGCAGTGACAAGGACTAGACCAGGGGTGTACGACTAGCAAGGACTAGACCAGGGGTGTACGACTAGCAAGGACTAGACCAGGGGTGTATGACTGCTGTGACAAGGACTAGATCAGGGGTGTATGACTAGCAAGGACTAGACCAGGGGTGTATGACTGCTGTGACAAGGACTAGATCAGGGGTGTATGACAAGCAAGGATTAGACCAGGGGTGTATGACTGCTGTGACAAGGACTAGACCAGGGGTGTATGACTGCAGTGACAAGGACTAGACCAGGGGTGTATGACAAGCAAGGACTAGACCAGGGGTGTATGACTGCTGTGACAAGGACTAGACCAGGGGTGTACGACTAGCAAGGACTAGACCAGGGGTGTATGACTGCAGTGACAAGGACTAGACCAGGGGTGTACGACTAGCAAGGACTAGACCAGGGGTGTATGACAAGCAAGGACTAGACCAGGGGTGTATGACTGCAGTGACAACGACTAGACCAGGGGTGTATGACTGCTGTGACAAGGACTAGACGGGTGTATGACTGCAGTGACAAGGACTAGACCAGGGGTGTACGACTAGCAAGGACTAGACCAGGGGTGTATGACTAGCAAGGACTAGACCAGGGGTGTATGACTGCTGTGACAAGGACTAGATCAGGGGTGTATGACAAGCAAGGATTAGACCAGGGGTGTATGACTGCTGTGACAAGGACTAGACCAGGGGTGTATGACTGCAGTGACAAGGACTAGACCAGGGGTGTATGACAAGCAAGGACTAGACCAGGGGTGTATGACTGCAGTGACAAGGACTAGATCAGGGGTGTATGACTGCATTGACAAGGACTAGACCAGGGGTGTATGACTGCAGTGACAAGGACTAGATCAGGGGTGTATGACAAGCAAGGATTAGACCAGGGGTGTATGACTGCTGTGACAAGGACTAGACCAGGGGTGTATGACTGCAGTGACAAGGACTAGACCAGGGGTGTACGACTAGCAAGGACTAGACCAGGGGTGTATGACAAGCAAGGACTAGACCAGGGGTGTATGACTGCAGTGACAACGACTAGACCAGGAGTGTATGACTGCAGTGACAACGACTAGACCAGGGGTGTATGACTGCTGTGACAAGGACTAGACCAGGGGTGTATGACTGCAGTGACAACGACTAGACCAGGAGTGTATGACTGCTGTGACAAGGACTAGACCAGGGGTGTATGACTGCAGTGACAAGGACTAGACCAGGGGTGTACGACTAGCAAGGACTAGACCAGGGGTGTATGACTAGCAAGGACTAGACCAGGGGTGTATGACTGCTGTGACAAGGACTAGATCAGGGGTGTATGACAAGCAAGGATTAGACCAGGGGTGTATGACTGCTGTGACAAGGACTAGACCAGGGGTGTATGACTGCAGTGACAAGGACTAGACCAGGGGTGTATGACAAGCAAGGACTAGACCAGGGGTGTATGACTGCAGTGACAACGACTAGACCAGGAGTGTATGACTTCTGTGACAAGGACTAGACCAGGGGTGTATGACAAGCAAGGACTAGACCAGGGGTGTATGACTGCTGTGACAAGGACTAGACCAGGAGTGTATGACTGCTGTGACAAGGACTAGACCAGGGGTGTATGACTGCAGTGACAAGGACTAGACCAGGGGTGTACGACTAGCAAGGACTAGACCAGGGGTGTATGACTAGCAAGGACTAGACCAGGGGTGTATGACTGCAGTGACAAGGACTAGACCAGGGGTGTACGACTAGCAAGGACTAGACCAGGGGTGTATGACTGCTGTGACAAGGACTAGACCAGGGGTGTATGACTGCAGTGACAAGGACTAGACCAGGGGTGTATGACTGCTGTGACAAGGACTAGACCAGGAGTGTACGACTAGCAAGGACTAGACCAGGGGTGTATGACTAGCAAGGACTAGACCAGGGGTGTATGACTGCTGTGACAAGGACTAGACCAGGGGTGTATAACTGCTGTGATCCAAGATTATGAACAAATTAATTGAAGCATATGCCTCAATTTGGGTTGGCATGGAAAAGTGATAGAGTACGCAACCACTAGCCTAAAACTCTCCTGTCTGGTGCCTTGAGCCCACCAAGCTAAAGTCAGGGAAAGTAAAGATGGCTGGGCATAAAAATGACTTTACTGTTTCTTTATTATATGCTAAGATAATACAAACAAGCAAAAACTACATCTGCCTCAGGTCTATAACTATAAGAGTGCCTTCACTTTGACCTATTTATACCCCCCTCCCCTCATCTAAAATTGTGAAATGAGAAAGCAAATACTATTTGTACTTACCTCTTCCAACTTTCATGGTAGAAAGCAGGTTGCTGAAAAGATAAGAGAATTTCTCTGTACTGTATACAGTCATTAGGTGATGGTTTTGTTAATTTATCATTAGTTCATGTCTGCTGTCAGCTTATGATTGGCTTCCTGCTGGTTGCTAAAAGCTATTTAGGTAACTGACATTTAGGCAATCAGTATTTAGTCATGTGACTTAGGAAAGTTGCCCATCTCTACTATTTATAATGACCTAATATAAAAAGAATGGATCAGAGTGCTCTGATGATAGAGCACATGGCTGCTAACCCAAAAGTCTCCAGTTCAGATCCCTGGCTGAAGTCCATCCTAGAGTCAAGCAAGCTTTGATGGTTACCTGACTCATGTTAAGGAAAGTAAATGTGGCTAGGCATAGTGCTGCCCACACTATCCCTTCATATGCAGAGATCACAAAAATAGGTTGAACTCTATTTCTACCGCATGGATTCAAATATAAAAAGCAATTTTGTTAAAGAAACTAGAAGTTCCTCCTTCCTATACAGTGCAAAAATTCAAGAAAAACATAAAAAATGAATTACTTGACTTGTTGATTTTCCTGCTCCTGTTCATCAGGGCTGGCACTGGGCTGGGTGGACTGGAGGCGTGACAGCAGCTCCTCAGCTGTCCTGGTCCAGTCACGTGAGAATGACTTAGCTGCGGCCTCAGCTGCCATTTTCAGCTCCTCACTCACATGGACTTTCCTGCAACAGCACAGCATGCAAGTTCACATTGTCAGCATTAAGGGAATTCATTACATTAATACATTTACAATGTTTAATCAAATTCTACTTTAGATTACTGTAATAAATTACCAATCTTTAATTTGATTTAATGAGTACATGTTAAACAAACACACACAAACTTTGTTTTCTACTATGAAAGGGAGGATGACTATAGAGACAAAAGGCTACTTCACCAGCTCAATCACTTAACTCCCCTTTGCTGATGAAAATGCAATAACAAAAGGGCACAGATCTTTTTATTTCTTTTAAAAATAAAGCCTGTACTCTTGAAAGGTTAAAAACTGAAATTCTTACTTCTTATCTGAATTTGTATCCTCATTTTTCTTCAGAAGCTTAGCAGGGGTTTGCTTGGTAGGGGGTACTTTGCTTGATGGCTTCTTGATTTCTTTTTTCTCAGCTGAAATCTTTTTCTCTCTATCCTCAGTAATACATGTTGTGTGAAACAGCCTGAATGATGCTAGTATACTGAAAGATTAATAACACAATGATGATAAGTGCTATCACTAATAAAAATGTACCAGTTTCTTAACTATATGAGTAAAAATTTAAAGTTAAAGAGAAATTGTGCAGTTTAAAAATAATTAAATTGGTTTGGCTTCAAGAAAGCTTTCGAAGAATGGCCTGGTACACCTTGAGCCACCATGAGGAAAAGCTATGTTAATAATAATATAACAAAAGTAATCCAAAAACCAAGCAACAAGGGAAGTTTACTTTAAGAATGGTAAGCCTATAAAGATAGCAGACATAAGATCTACCATTGAACCATGACGTCCTCTAAGAGTACTAAGACAATATGGAAAGATAAAAACATAAACATCTACACACAAAAATCAGGCTGCTGTATTCCTGAATACAGACAGTTATACTTGCCAATCCTAAACACTTACATCAGAACTTAAAAATAAAAATCAAGTATAGGAAATTATGTGTTACAGAAAATTACTAGAAATTTCATATGTAAAAAAACAAGGTAATGGTGTTTGACAAGATCCAAAGATCAACTGGTGAACATGATCACTTGCTGACAATACATTTTAAAGATGAAAGATCAAATGGAACAGATATGTCCCAAGGTTCACTAGCAAAAACTTTAGTTGTTTAGGGACACTGCCAGGTATATGAAAAGAGGCAGAAAATATAAAAGTAAAAGATTTAATAATAATAACAGAACTGTTAAACTTCTAGTAATAATCTAGTGCTCCTAACAGCTAGTGAGAGACAGTTCAGTTTCAGGTGTCAGTCTAGAGCAGTGGTTCCCAACCTTTTTCGAGTGGCGACCCCCTTTTATAAAAAGTAAGTGACCCGCAACCCCCATAGAATTAAAAAGCCAAAATTAGTATGGAAATTAATAAGCACTAAAATAAGATTTTCTAGTAGACTTTCAATATGAACTACTCTTGATAACTGTTTTAATAGCATGAGTAAAATTGCACACTATTCACTAAACCTTCGTGGTTAAGTTTTTAATTTTAAAACATTTTGTTAACGCCAACCTATGTCATTATAATTATCTTAATTTTGTTTTTAATCGAAGAATAGTGTTGAAAATATATTCTCGAAAAGTCAATCAATTTTACGTTTGGGTATGAATGGTGAATACTACACCAAAATTGTGCCTGCAGTTTTTCATCTTGCTCGAAATCATTCTGCAAATCAAAGAATTCATTTTGTAATTCATCGGGAATGCTGGCAACATCAAGGGAAGAAGAGAATGGGTAATGCGTAAATGCAGATTCTTCTTTTTTCAGAAAAATAGCCATGCAGTTCGTTTTCAAGAGATTCAAGATGCCCAGAAATCGCTTCTTTCAAAATTTTAATTATCTCACAATCAGATTCATCTACCACACAGCAGAGTTTCTCAAATTTACAATATTTCCACGATTTGGTTTCTTTACCAATTTTGCAGCTTTGATAAAAATGCCCCGAGATTATCATGGAAAGTTATAATATTCGTTCATTTTCCCTGAAGCTTAAGGTTAAGCTTATCTTGATGTTCGAACACATCTGCTTGGTATGATACTCTCTCCAACCACTCTATGTCGTTTTAAGTATACCAAAAAGTCTTCTTTCCTTTGCACTCCCAAGAACAATTTGATTTCAGATTTCAATTCAAAAACACAATTTACAACATTTCGTTTGACAGCCAGCGTACTGTAGTGTAGAAGAGCAGAACCTCGTGATCTATATTAAAGTTTTTGCTCAGTTCTTTGAAGGCTCCAGATTTTATATAATTTACGACTTATACTAGCAATGGACGCTTGGTGTCGATTGGATAGGGCAGTGGTTAGGGAGCCTAATCTTTTCTGTTTTCTGAAAGCCCGATTTTGAGCTAAACATAGATAGCGCACCATCCGTACAAAACCCCACAGCCGTTTTAACCCATTTTAATCATCCAGTTTTTAAAAAAGGTATTTATTTTCTCCATGCTATCTTCACAAAATAGCGACTCTTCTTTGCTATCATCCGCATGAATATAGACACAGACCAGCAACTGCAACACGAACTCACGTCTGTTGATTTATTAACTTGAAAAGCAAACAATGGTGAAAGCTTAATTTCGATAAAAATGTGTTATTTAACATTTACGTACATGCAGCGTTTGATGAGATTTTCTCCTATTTTTTTTTTTTTTTTTTTTGCTTGGCATTTTCTATCGCGACTTTATTTGATGCTTGAACTAATGCTGGTGAAAACTTCCTGTTCGATCAAGTTTCTGGCGTTTGCAACTAGCTTCTTACCGACGAAAGAACTCCATATCTTTTTGGTGTGTTCCGGTGAAGATTTCATAGATTCGTGACTGAGAACAACTTTGTAAAGTGCGATTTGTTTCTTCTCTATTACATTTCCAGTGTTGTTAATGAAGTCGAATTTCAAAAATTCTTCTAAATATTTATGTTTTGTTTCAAATTACTAAAGTTTAGTATACCAGTTGGCGACCCCCCCAGAAAGAGCTTCGCGACCCCCAGGGAGGTCGCGACCCCCAGGTTGGGAACCCGTGGTCTAGAGATTACTAGATCTAGAGAATCTTGAAAGATCTAGAAATCTAGATTAGGGTTGTCAGTATCGGCAGAGTTCGCGGTAAACACATGACCCAAAATCTCCCATTACTTTCTGAAACCGGACGCACGAGATTTGGTTTTGCATACTAATAAGTTTTTAATTTATGGTAATTAATTAAGTTTAAAAGGTCATTTCCTAATGTTAAATGAAAAGTAGAATGGTTTTCCAGTTGTTTTGATGGCTTAGCGATCTGATTGCATGCTGTCTCTGCTTTGGTCTTACCGCTGTATAAAGGTTAACTTCAAATGCGTTAAAAACGCGATTTTTGAAGTTTCCTCTTAGATAATGAAAGTTTCCAAAGCAGATACATCCCATTTTTATAGAAATGATATTTATTTTTGGATATTTCTACTTTGACATTAGTAAATACTCATTTGAAAGTAGTCACCGTAAGTAGGTCACGTTGCCCCCATTGATGCCAATGTTATATTTCTTCATCCCGATCTGCCGGCTTTTAGTTTTGATACACTGACAACAGTATTCTTATGTAATGTACAAACAAATCTCCTACTTGTTGTTTTAAAAATATTTTAATATACCTGTCTTTCATTTTTTCAACTATGGTTCTAGTTTTGCTTGAAGTAAAATTTTGCTGAGTCAGACATAGGTTACCTGTCTGTTGCTAGAATACACTACACTAGCTATGTGCTAACTGTAATTTTAAGTTTTCAAGTTCTACTTACCCTTACTTATAGTTATATTTATATGCTGAAAATCAGAATTCATACACAATACACACATAAAAACATTGAACAGATAATTTCAGTTCACTTTTAACAAAATGGCTTAAAGATGGACTCTACTTCACCTGTCCAAAATAATAAGGCAATTATATGCACATTACAGTGTTCAAGTCATTTACTTTAGATTGCTAACTATGTAGTTCTTTCATTCACTGTATTTATATAAAGCACTGCTTTAGAAACATTTTCATATTTGCGCAGCACAGTTTTATAACAAAATGGCTTAAAGATGGACTCTACTTCACCTGCCAAAAATAATGGGGCAGTTATATGCACATTACAGTGTTCAAGTCATTTACTTTAGATTGCTAACTATGTAGTTCTTTCATTCACTGTAAAACATTGCTTTAGAAACATTTTCATATTTGCGCAGCACAGTTTTTTTGGGGTTATGGAAGGAAGCCAACACAAAAATATGCTTCTGTATTATTTTTATTCATTTCAACAGCATATACAAGTTCTATATATCATTCTAGCTAAACTCTGCAAATATGAACAAAATACAACTGCAAGTAAAATAACTATGCTCAATTTAATTTTATTCAGGCATACCATGACTTGTCACAATTGGCCAATGCAAAAGTAAGGGCATTCCACCCCTCACAAAAAAATTCGCAAAAAAAAAACTATTTGAGGTAGACAGAAAATCTTTTTTGTTTTGTTTTCATATAGTTGAGCTCTACAAGAATATGTAGGTAATTGTTATTTATTTTTATATGATGATTAGTGTTTTTTTACCAAAATCCCTACTAAGAGTAAGAGTAAGTAGAATCTATGAATATGAATCATTGAATGTTTCTTACCGGCCAGTTTCCTTGTGAGATGTAGTTAACGCTTGCAATAAACTTCGATGCATGCTTATTTGCTAGATCTAGAAGTCTAGATCCAGATCTAAATCTAGATCTAATTCTAATTATATTTCTAGATCTAGAATTATGATGTTGACTTCGCTACTGCAAAGTCAAACCTTTGATAACATATTATCTTTACTTTGTACTTTTCCCATCTAATTTTCCCATCGAACTGCTAGATCTAGAATCTACTTATTGATGGCAAAATAGCAGAACATTGATGCGCTCTAAGTTGTTTCACGCTAAAAAATAAAATAAAAGAAACTGTACTGTAGATCTATATTGTCTTATTGTATAAGTCTTAAACTCTTTATGTCGACATATCGGAAAATGTTGAAAATAAGGTTTATATTATAAGGCCAACTAAATGATCCAACTTGCTTTAGGTATCACAGTGTTTCTTTCAGACATTTTTCTCTGGGGGAGGAGTACTTGAAATAATCAGGGGGCGGACGCTGGTTTAAACTAGGCCATATATAGATAGTGATATAAATTATATTTGTTTCTGGGGGTTGGTAGACGTACTGAGGGGGTGGGGGTGAAAGAAATGCCTGAAAGAGACTCTGGCTTTGCGTGGTCGGGTGTCATGTCGTATCTATTTCCCAACGTAACTAACACCTACCGGTGTCTGAAAGTTTTGAAATGTTTTCGGAGAAACTTAGATTCGGCCCAGAGAAACGAGAAAATTCGGCAGAAAACACTCAAAACTGCTACGAAAAACTGACCTCCAAAAAAAAAAATTGCAACGACATATTGGCTCTAACATACAGAGTTTCTTCCAAGCGTCTCTTCGGGGGGCAGAGCCCCCCCCCCCCCCGAATGAGATGGAATTTATATAGTAAACATATACTTTTACAAAAATCTTGTTAGTAAAACGTTTTCATGCATTTTTAAAATATTTTTGTAAGTGCAGGGATTAATGTGTACAGAGTTTCTTCCAGGCATCTCTTCGGGGGGCGCAGCCCCCCCCCCCCCCCGAAAAAATTTTACAGCCCCCCAAACGAAATGAAATTTATATAATTTATATAGAAAATATATACTTTTAACAGTGTCCGCCACCCCCCCCCCCCCCCGAAGAAAGTCTACCGCCCCCCCCCCCCCCGGAGAAAAAGGTCTGGAAGAAACACTGCTACGGGGTATGGCAACTCGGGACTTAGACATTATTTTAAATCCATTTTTAATTACTTAAACTTTTTATAATAGAATAGAATCTCGTAAACAAGTTAATAAAAAGTCTAGTGACAATTTAAGCGCAATTTCCTTATGTTATCCATAACATTTTTTAATTTTTTGTGACCGAACGAAAGGATATTTTTGAAAACTTTCATCGGCAATATTTTTCTAAATTATGGCAGGAATAACCTATATCAACGGTAGGCCTACACGATGCTCAGTTTAAACAAGTAGACGTTAGCTCTCACTAGCGACTGCCTGAGCCGGTGTGATTGGTTTGGAACTTCACCGCTTCGCTTCTTCTAGTGGTGAAACGCGAAGGGATGAGGGTGGTAGAAATATTTGTATATTCTTAGTAATCTTAGCCAATACAAATTAGAAGAAATTATTTTTTTTGTGACCGAACAAAAGGATATTTTTGAAAACTTTCTTCGGCAATATTGTTCTAAATTATGACAGGAATCGATTGGTAAATGTTTCAAGTCGCTAAGTGGTCTGGTTGCCGAGATATGGGCCAAAAACTGCATTTTTTTGAGTTTTTTTTGGCTTTTCCGGGAAATCCAGGAAGGAATTCCGGGAATTTTTTTGGCCCACAATCATCCTCGGAACTTGCTTAACATATTTGCTTCGGAACTAGTCCTCGATATTGCTTCGTTGAGGAGGAGATACGACTTAAAGCTGCGGTAAAGCTGCGGACACGCATCTATTCATTCATTCATTCATTCATCCATCCATCCATCCATCCATCCAGAAATGACGAGTTAATAATCGCAATTGTCCGTATTGAAATTGCGCTAAAAAAAATAATTGCACACCAAGTGAACGCCAAATAAAATGTGCATAATACTGCGGGATATTAGTTATAAATTCACATGCGTTTTTTTTTGTTTTTTTTTTTTTGAGAAATCGGAAATAGCGTAAAATACTACTTCCGGTCGACAGAAATTACTCAAAAAACTTGAAAAAAAAAGATAGAGAATTAGAACTTTTACTTACATGTGAAATTTCATTTATCTATCTCAAATAGTACTTAAGTTAAAGGCTTTTGAAAAATTCAAAGTAGAAAAGTTCCATTTCCGGTTATCGGAAATCGCTCAAAAGTTGATACGGATCTACGATTTTGATATAATACTTATATATATGAAATTTTATCAACCTAGCTGTAACGGTACTCAAGTTATCGTGTTTACACACACACAGACAGACACACAGACATACGGAAAAGATTGCAAAATTATGTTTTTCCGTATCATTGAGGTGTAAAACGTCGAGATTTGTAAAAATCTCGATTTTTTTTGCACGATTACAAGACTTTCTCTATACTTTGTATATACCAGAAAGTAAAAAATAATAAAGAATAAAGACACACATCTGTTGACTAACAGAGCAATATTTGTTTGACTAGCGTTAAGTCAAAGTGTCTGACTGATCTTTGACAGTTTCGAAGGAAGTTCGTACTTAAGTACAAAGCATAAAGAAAGCAGCTTTTAGAAACTAGGGGGTATTACTTCGCAAAAATAGCTGGATAGTTTTATGTCTATTTGAACTTTTTTTAAAGATGGGAGTGAGCTCATCTAAACTTTCTCATATGTTCGCAGTTCGCATAAAACTAATGGTTAGGTTGGCACATTCAGTGGAATCGAACTACTGATGTGGTAGGTAAGTTTGTGACAAAACCACTTGTTTTATAGAAAGGGGTGGGGGGTCTTGAATGTGCAGCTCTATGGGAATTTCTTTTTAACTTTCAACTTTCGAAATATTTTTGAGAAACAGATAATAATTTCCGTTTACATTAAAGGTAAAAATTAATGGAAAAAAAATTAAACGGCACATTATTCAGTTAGATATAAACAAAGCATAAAGAGATTTTGTGTGCATATACCAACATATTTTGTAAAAAGTTAATTGGTTGTTTTTGTTTGTTTGTTTTTTTGCAATATGGTAACATGAGCTAATCTTTTTTAATCATTATTTGGATGCTGAAATGTTTTTAACGTTTATCTCCAGCAAAATGTATAACGTTTTTATGCTGTTATTGTTGATGATCAATCATTGTCGCTCACACGATGGCGTACATAGATACAAACATCTGAAAGACACATTTTTGGAAGATGGCGGCCGCACTGAGAACGTCACTACACTTGGAGATTACGACTCCTCAGAACATAAGACACACAGTGATTTTGTTGTTCGGGATGAGTATATCTGCGGAGTGTGTAGCTGTTGGGAGGAAAAATCTACCTCTAACACTCACATAAGCGCAAACTGCGAACACAAATGGCTGAAAGCATTTCCAAAAGGACTTCCTGTTGGTTTATGGTCTTTGCATTTGTCTAACAATAAAATTCTACCGTTATCCACCTCGCGTTTTCAAAGTTTTCCCAACTTGACGTACGTGTTCATGTCTTCCGGAACACTGAGCAACGTAACGTATGATGATACAGTTTCCAATATGACATCACAAATGTTACATTTAGACTTGTCGGCCAACTGGTTAAAATTGATTGAAGATGGCTGCTTTAGACTAATGACAAAGCTGAAAACACTTTTGCTAAACAAAAACAAATTGGGGCGGATCACCAACTACACGCTTCAAGGTCTTTCAGAACTAAGACGTTTAGACGTGTCGAAAAACTGGCTTCAACACATAGAGAGCGGCGCATTCCGGCACACAACACGGCTGACGTTCTTAAGCCTGAACTTAAACGGCCATCTTGATAACTCCTGGAACTTTCTACCACCAGCATTGGTTGCACCCTTGCAGGAACTGAAAGTCCTAGGTCTGATGCGCGTGGCGAGGGATGAAATAACTTACCCAAACAAGGCTTTGGCCACGCTGACCAATCTGGAGGAACTGTACATCGATGGCCTGAGAAATAGTGTAAAATTTGGTCCGGAACTTCAAAAACTACGTAACTTAACTCGCATCCATATTGGCGGAGGAGTTCACTGTTCGTTAAAAAACATCAGTTCAACGTTTTTTCAAAACATTCCTAACATAAAACACTTATATATTACCCATTGCCGACTTATGAATATTAGCTTGACAGTTTATTCCAAGTTAAATCTGACGTTGTTGTCGCTGGATAATTTAGTCAACTACGATCTCTACACGGCGTTCGATGACTTGAGAGCACTTCAGTATTCGGGTCTCAGAACTCTCCATCTCACCCATCTGTATCACTCCACTTATCCGTGTCGTTATCTCAACGCGGCACAAGCCAAATATATAAGAAACATCGCACTCGAAGAACTTGATCTCTCATCAAACAGACTGGCTCTGTTAGGTGATGATTTCTTACAACTACTGCCGAGAACCTTGAAGAAACTTGTTTTAAGAGAAAATCAGCTCTCTTTGATAAGTTTAATTCTTAACCGCACTGACTACCTGGAGAATCTGATAACCCTTGACCTTTCTACACAAAACACCAATGCTCCATGGAAAGGGCCTGAACAGTTAGAGAAATGTTTAGTGTCGCGGTTAGACTCTTCAACTTCTTCAGAAGGTCGCTTCCAGAACTTTGAAATAGTAAAACAAAATTTCAATGCAAGTTCTCCAAGTGAAACTGCTGGTGTTGATGTAAAAAAATGTTTTAAGCTTTTCACCCAAGCAAGCCTCAGTTTGACCACAGCATACGATGTGAATGAACCGCCTTTCAAAATTCCACCAAGCCTTCAAGTTCTTAATGCGTCCCAGTACAGCAGTTTCGGAACCATTTTATTTATTAACCGCCTTGATCCGAACAACAGCCTCACAGACATTGATTTTTCTGAAAGTTTCCTGACAACTTGGGGACAAGGTCTACTACCCACAACTTTTCAGAGAATTAATTTAAGCAATAATTTCTGCAAGCACATAAATCCTCACTTTTTTCCTGAAAATAATTCCGTAAAATTCCTTGACCTTTCGGACAACTCACTGGGATCAGATTTTGCGGTAGACATCAACGGCACAATTTTCTCGACCCTGACAAACGCCATTGAATTGGACATTTCTCGTAACCTGATTTACAAACTCTCTCGACAATTCTTTCGTGGCCTGAAGCATCTCGTCTCTCTGAGACTCTCAGAAAACAAACTCCAGACACTCAACTCGTCGTTTGCCCACATGAAACATCTCCGCCTTCTTGACCTCAGTAAAAACTCCATTGTTTGGATTGACAAGAGAGTTCGTGATGAACTAGATGAAATTGGCGAGACGCTTTCGATAGACTTGACCTCTAACCCCTTGTCCTGCACGTGCTCTTCCCTCGAGCAGATAGTTTGGATGATGAAGACGAAGATAACGTTGTTAAACGAAGATTATCTTCATTGCACATTCGACGACGGCGTTGACAGACCGATAGGAAACCTCCAGAAGCGAGTTCAGTCCGTCCAGAGAATGTGCGCCTCAAAAGCTTTAGTCATTGTGGTTTGTGTTGCTCTAATCTGCTTGCTTGGCACCGTGGCGGGATTTGTCGTCATCTACCGCAACAGATGGAAGCTCCGTTACATCAGGAACATCGCTGTGGCTAAACTGGTTGGGTTTGAACCAAAGCGCGCTAACGAGGAAGGCTTTCGTTTCGATGCTTATATTTTGTACACAGAAACCACACGTAACTTTGTGCTCAATGATTGCCTTAGAGAGCTAGAAGAGAAAAGGGGACATAAGCTCTGTATCGCAGACCGCAATTTTCTGCCTGGAACCCTCATCATCTCCGATATCGTCAGCGCCGTTCAAAACAGTTCAAAAACCGTGCCGGTCTCCGAGCCAGGCTTCTACGCGGATGACGAATATTCGGAATACTCGGTCAAGATGGCGATCATGGAGGAGGTATTCAAAACGAGGCAGGTTCTGCACGTGATTGTACTGGAACCAACACCGGCAGACGACATGCCTGTCGATTTACTTGTGGCTATGAAAAGAAATAGCTACACGGAGTTTCCACCAGCGGATGAAAGAAATGAAGAATTACTGGAGCATTTCTGGGACCAGCTTTCCCTGGCGATAGGCCACACGGCAAACAATCGGCAATAATTCCGACCTATATATATATATATATATATATATATATATATATATATATATATATATATATATATATATATATATATATATATATGAGAATATATATATATGAGAATATATATATATGAGAATATAGGTCTGGTTAAATTTCTATTTCTTTACTGTAATTTAAATAGTAGTATATTATATTATATTTAAAGTAAATCATTTTTTTCCCTTTTATTGCATTATTACATGAAAGCTTTTTATTAAAACGTTGTTTAAGCATTTTTTTTATTTAAGTTATATTTCGAAAGAATAAATACTTCAATGAAAATTTTTTAAAATAGGCTCGGGTAAAAAAATTTTTTTTTTAGAGAGCAGACCATTTTTTTTTCTACAGCTTTATTAAGGTGCAACTGAATATGCATTTCCAGCAAAAAAAAATTTAACTGTAGATCTTCAAACTAATTTGCTATGAATTTTCAAATTTTGAATCCAGTAAAAACACTAAATTTTTTTAGAGTTTTGGGGCATTAAATCTAGTGTTTTTGACGGACACACTATTTGAAAATTCATATTTCAATTAGTTTTAAGATCTTCACTTTAAATTTTTAGCTGAGTACCCCAAAATATGGTAGAAGATTATGAATTCATTCTTTGTTGGACCTAAAATGGAATATTTTATGAATGGTGGAAAGTCTACGAAGAGGTTAATTTTTCAATTTGGCCGCCGTTGTCATAGTTACCAAAAAAATTTACAAATGCAAATTCGGATGTATTTTTAAAAAAGATGTAGAGAAAAAAAAGTTGTTTTTTTTTTTTTTTTTTTACCGGCGCCTTCCCCCTTAACGTCTTAACGACACAGTTGCTTGTTCATTCGACTTCAACAATGTCCATGTCTTTGTTTTGGTAGTGGTAGACCTTGTAATGGATGTGTCATTATAGAGTTAGATCATGGAGTGGATATGATTTGTCATAGAGGTAGATCTTGTAGTGGTCAAATGTCATTATTAAGGTAGATCTTGTTTTGGACATATGTCATTATTAAAGTAGTTCTTGTAGTGTATGTAGGTCATTTTTAAGGTAGATCTTGTACTGAACATATGTCATTATTAAAGTAGATCTTGTGGTGGGCATGTGTCATTATTAAGGTAGATCTTGTAGTGGATATAGGTCATTATTAATGTAGATTTTGTGGTGGATATTATATGTCATTATAGATTTAGACCTTGTAAGGGATATTATTATGGTGTCATTATAGATGTAAATAGAGTAGTGTAGGTTGTGTTCCTTTGGTTTCAAGAATGCAGCGTACTAATTTATGGGATTATCAATTAGCAAGAAACACATTGTTTTAGCATAAACTCTTAAAATTTAAAACTGAAATCGTCCCAGGAATCAATCTTCTTATGAGAGATTTGTTTTTTTTTTTCAAATTTAAATTTCGAATCACTAAAAGTATCTAGAAATTAGATAAGCGTTTTATATTTGCTAAGTGTGTTCGTTTTTATTTTTATGTCATCTAGGGGTTTGCTGTGCCGCCGAACACCGGGGGGGGGTGGGCCAAGGGGATACCGGGTCAGTGCCATGAACGGTGCTGTTATAGACCTAGCAGTGCACACTTTTCCATGTTCCCTTCCTTCATGCCCGTTGGCGTAGACATGAACTTTTCAATTCCGTTCCACCAAGCCTAGTCGCGAGAATTTCCATCAAATTAGGGGTTATGTTTGGAAACACAAAGTATCATTGATATTTCACTTATTTAAAAGAGTTAGTCGACAATTCTTTCGGGTTGATGCGGATCAAACAGTTTAGTCAAATTAAATAAATAAATAATGTGTGAAGTTGGCTGATGATTATTCGGGCATTCATAGAATGAAAAGGTCTGCCTGAAAACTAGGTCTACAATTTATAGCCCGACTCGTATATTTATACTGAGTACATGGTTTCTCATATCGCTTCATGATGAGACTCTAGTCTTGGAGATCTTAGAAGATTGTGTGAGACCATCCTCTAAACAATTTGAATCCGGGTTCAAGTCTGTAGAACTTCCCTGAGTCCTGCCAGCTCTAATGGGTACCTAACTCACATTAAGTTGTGATGTTTTAGCTTATACTAAAAAAATTTAAAAGTTTTATGTACAATTAAAATTATACTTGCAATTTAATGTTTTGTTATTAATGTTTTTGCTCTAATTGTAAAATGTAATATTTGAAGTGACCCGTCAGTTTGTAGGTTTGGATGGGAAAATGCACAATTAAAATTATACTTGCAATTTAATCTTTTTGTTACAATTGTAAAATGTAATATGTGAAGTGACCCGTCAGTTTGTAGATTTGGATGGGAAACTGCACAATTAAAATTAAAGTCACAAGCCCAGCTTACTTTTTTCCCCTCGCCTCTAGGATACAGTCCACCCATGTTGGTATCAGTTACTCGAAGACCCCCATTGAAAGATTCCAAAAACTTTATTCTATTACATTGCATTATGCTGGGCATAAGGATTTCAAGTAAAATATATACATACAATCCATACACAGAATCAGAGGCGTAGCTACCCCTCCCGGCGCCTAGGACAAACTTTCAATATGGCGCCTCCCCCCCCCCCCCATATATTTTTTATTTGTATAATTCAAAACTGCAACTAAAATGAGCTTTTAATTTCTCTCCAACCCATTTTGGCGCCCATAGGATCGACGCCCGGGGACATATGTGCCCACCCGCCCCCACACACCCCCACACCCCGTCGCTACGCGTCTGTACAGAATCCAACACAAGGTAGTGTCTTAGTTTTTTTAAACCTTATATGATATAATTTTTTCGTTTTTACTTCCCGTTCACACCTTGAAAAATTATGATACCCTATGGATCTCCAAAACACAAATCTAACAGATTGATAATATCCTTCGAAGTGCACATGTCTCGTTGTACAAATACACGCAAGCTACTGGGACTCAGAGATTATGTCCAAACTGTAGTTGGAAGAAATGAGTTACAATTTACATACATTTAGAATTTCCTTTAAGCTTTTCGCCGTCACGCTTCCCCGAGCATGTCCACCGCTCCATTCGGGAAAAATAGAAAGCATTTAGTTGATGTCAGAAATGCATATATTATACAAGCTCTCCCCCAAGAATTTTCTAGTGCTTCCCTCGGAGAAAAATGTCTGAAACCCTGAACACATTCAAATGTAATCACACCAATTGCTAGTAAGCAAAAATAATCAATTTCTCACAGAAAGTATTAACATCCACATAAAGATTAAGATTCTTATTTCTACTTCAATGAGCCTATTTTTGTGGGTAACCCACATTTTTCCGAGATAATAAAAAACGTGAAACTCTAGTTATATGAAAGGGGGGGGGGTGGCATTTGCAAATTTGGAGGCTAGTTGTTTGCCGTGTGGCCTATCGCCAGTGAAAGCTGGTCCCAGAAATGCTCCAGTATTTCTTCGTTTCTTTCATCCGCTGGGGGAAACTCCGTGTAGCTATTTCTTTTCATGGCTACAAGTAAATCTACAGGCATATCCTCTGCTGGTGTTGGTTCAAGTACTAGCACGTGCAGAACCTGCCTCGTTTTGAACACCTCCTCCATGATCGCCATCTTGACCGAGTATTCCGAATATTCGTCATCCGCGTAGAAGCCTGGCTCGGAGACCGGCACGGTTTTTGAACTGTTTTGAACGGCGCTGACGATATCGGAGATGATGAGGGTTCCAGGCAGAAAATTGCGGTCTGCGATACAGAGCTTATGTCCCCTTTTCTGTTCTAGCTCTCTAAGGCAATCATTGACCACAAAGTTACGTGTGGTTTCTGTGTACAAAATATAAGCATCGAAACGAAAGCCTTCCTCGTTAGCGCCGTTTGGTTCAAACCCAACCAGTTTAGCCACAGCGATGTTCCTGATGTAACGGAGCTTCCATCTGTTGCGGTAGATGACGACAAATCCCGCCACGGTGCCAAGCAAGCAGATTAGAGCAACACAAACCACAATGACTAAAGCTTTTGAGGCGCACATTCTCTGGAGGGACTGAACTCGCTTCTGGAGGTTTCCTATCGGTCTGTCAACGCCGTCGTCGAATGTGCAATAAAGGTAGTCTTCGTTTAACAATGTTATCTTCGTCTTCATCATCCAAACTATCTGCTCCAAGGAAGAGCACGTGCAGGACAAGGGGTTAGAGGTCAAGTCTATCGAAAGCTTCTCGCCAATTCCATCTAGTTCATCACGAACTCTCTTGTCAATCCAAACAATGGAGTTTTTACTGAGGTCAAGAAGGCGGAGATGTTTCATGTGGGCAAATGACGAGTTGAGTGTCTGGAGTTTGTTTTCTGAGAGTCTCAGAGAGACGAGATGCTTCAGGCCACGAAAGAATTGTCGAGAGAGTTTGTAAATCAGGTTACGAGAAATGTCCAATTCAACGGCGTTTGTCAGGGTCGAAAAAAGGGTGCCGTTGACGTCTGCTGCAAAATCTGAACCCAAAGAGTTGTCTGATAGGTCAAGGAATCTTACTGAATTATTTTTGGGGAAAAATTGAGGTTTTATGTGCTTGCAGAAATTTTTGCTTAATTTAACTATTTGAATAGTTGCAGGTAGAAAACCATGTCCCCAGGTTGTTAGGAGACTATCAGAAAGATCAATTTCCCTCAGGCTATTTTTCAGATGGCGAATTAATATAACGGTTCCAAAACTGCTGTACTGGGAGGCATTAAGAACTTGAAGGCTTGATGGAATTTTGAGTAGGGGGACATTCACGTCGTATGTTGAGGTCAAACTGAAGCTTGTTGGCATTAAAGGTTTAGCACATATTTCAACATCACTAACTGCGGGACTAGTAGAAGAACTTGCATTGAATTTTGGTTTTTCTATTTCAAAGCTCTGGGTGCGTTCTTCCGAATAACTTGTTGAGTGTAAAACAGCCAACGTGTTTTGCTCAGAGAGATCAAGGTTTATCAAATTATGCAAGTTGACAATGTTGTTTAAATTGAAACCTTTTAATGTAAGCTGGTTTTGTCTCAACACAAGCTTCTTCAGCGAGGTCGGCAGAAGTTGCAGAAAATCTTCGCCTAACAGAGCAAGTCTATTAAATGACAGGTCAAGTTCATCGAGTGCGATGTTTCTTATATATTTGGCTTGTGCCGCGTTGAGATAACGACATGGATAAGTGTATTGATACAAATGGATGAAGTTGAGAGATTTAAGTGACGAATACTGAAGCCCTTGTAAGTCATCAAAAGCTGTGTACAGATCGTAGTTATCCAAAAACATAAGAGACAACAACGTGAGATTTAACTTTGAATAAGCTGTAAAATCAACACGCATGACTTTACAGCTGTAAATGTATAAATACTTTACGTAAGGGATGTTTTGGAAAAAAGTCGAACTGATGTTTTTTAACGAACAATGTGTCCCCCCACCTATATAGAGATGAGTTAAGTTACGTAATGTTTGTAACTGGGGTCCAAACTCCACGTCATTTCCCAGACCGTCAATGTAGAGCTGCTCCAGGTTAGTCAACATTCCCAAAGCCTTGTTCGGATAATTGAGCTCGCCACGGGCTATGTACTGAAGATCGATTACTTTCAACTCTCTTAAAGGCTCGAACAAATCTGGTGGTAAAACCTTCCAGGTGTAACCGTACACAATGTTGTGGCTTAGGTTTAAGAATGTCAGATGTGTTGTGTGTTGGAATGCGCCGTACTCGATGTATTTAATATTGTTGGTCGACACATCTAAGCGCGTTAGTTCTGTAAGACCCTGAAGTGTGTTGTTGGTGATCCTATCCAATTTGTTTTTGTTCAGTAAAAGTGTTCTGAGTTTTGGCAATAACTTGAAGCAGCCATCTTTAATGGATTGAATATTGTTTACGGACAGATCAACGAGTAGCAATGATGATGTCACATTGTGTACGGGTGTGTTACTAGTTACTTTATTAATTTCACAGTAAGACATAACAACATGCTCCATTTTCTGATAATATAGAATGTCAGACGTGGACAGTGAATTAATTTTATTGTACGATAAACGCAGAGACCACAAATCAACTGGAAGTTCTGCAGGAATTGCATGCAAGCTTTTGTTTTCACAGTTAGCGATGAGGTGGTCCTGTGAAGCTGGGTTTTCCTTAGAGCAGTTGCACACCCCACAGATAAACTCGTTGTGGTTGATGGCTGAAGAAACCTGGGCCTGATTAATTTCATCCCCGGGCAGCACTGTCTTACTAGCAGCTTTAATGTGGTCTACATTTTCTCTGGCGTGTATAAGCGGCTGGCTCCCAGCCTTGACCTTGTACGAATGGACACTGTTCACATCAGTCATCAATGCAAAGACTGGTAGAATGCTGAGGAGATAAGAGATAAACATATGTGCGTGTGAACATGAGTGTCTATTTATAATGCAAACAAAACGGTGAACTTTAACGAAGTTTGCTGAAAATAACGCCCAAGCCCTCAGACGAGGATTTAAACAATATAAAAAATGTATAAAATATTGTGAACAGTGACACATTCATGCAATCTAAAATCTGCTGACACAAAGAAATGCTTGAACCCAACTTGCCTGTTGTCACAAAGGTAATATTTGCTTAAATCTAACTGGTCTATATCTACAATTTGTTGACGGCTAGGTTGTATAACAAATACTTAGTTAAAATGAACATTTAAATAAAACAATGTTTACACCAACAAGAGCGCAATATTCACCACACACATCATGTTAAGTGAAGTACCCTTTCAAACCATCAAGGTCCATGGAGCAGGTGACCTCGGATAGTATGGGAAGAACTTTGCCTTATTTTCTAACGGGTGTAATCAGGGACGTGATGCGGGTTCGAAGTCGAGAAGTTCAGGTTAGCAGGGGTTTGCTCTACCATCCGACCACGCCGTCCCACAATAGGACTTACCCCAGAATCCAAAACCTAGCCTTCCAGGAGCACATAGACATGACTATGGCATATATTGTTGTTGAACACTTCCAAACGTAAAACAGCAATGCCTGCTGTGTTGATCTGTTTTCACGTTAGATTTAGAGGAAACGACTCACGCGGCTAAAAACGTAGCTTATCTTGAAAGTATTTCGTAGATTTGTCACCCAGATGTAGATACTGAGGCAGATAATAGCTAGGCACTATGTCTGACTGTTCAAACTTTCGATTTAACACAGGAAATCTTAATACATACTTGCCTTTGTTAGTCGATTACGTAATCCGCTACATATAGGGAAACAGTATTGTATGCATCGTTATCAGCGGCGGAACTAGAAAAAAGAGCAACTCGCAAAATAAAAATATGGCGAGAGATAGATTTGTTGAGCAACCGATTCTTTTACGCAATACTTTATTTTTAACTTAAATTATAAGAAGTTATATAATTGTGACATGAAATCTCCTAACTACGCGATTCTTATTTTTTTACAAGCTTTTATGTAACATGCTTTCTCTGTCCGTCTGTATTTCTATCTGTCTGTTGTCATGAATCAAAACTGCCGAGTAAAATTTCGATCACTTTTAGAAGTGAACGGAAGTAGTAATTTACGCTATTTCCGATTTCTCAAAAAAAAAACGCATGTAAATTTATAAAGTGCTCAGTACTATTCCGCACTATCATATACAAATTTTTAGTCGTTTACTTGATGCGCAATTCTTTTTTCTACGAGATTCTATTCTATTTTTAAAAATTTAAGTAATTAAAAATAGATTAAAAATCATGTGTATATCCCGAGTTGCTATCCCCCTTTTTTTACTTTCTCGTATATACGAAGTATAGAGAAGTGTCTTGCAATAGTGCAAAAAAAATCGAGATTTTTGCAAATCTCGCTGTTTTACAGCTCCCTGAGTCGGAAAAACATATTATTGCTATATTGTCCGTATGTCTGTGTGTATGTGTGTGTGTGTGTGTGTCTAAGATTATATTCTCTTTTAAAAAATTTAAGTATTTAAAATAGATTAAAAATCAATTCTATATCCCGAGTTGCCATCCCCTGTTGTTTCATATAAGAATATTCGAGAAAGTTTAGGAGAGATTACTCCCGTTTTTTTTTTATCATATATGACTGAGAGCGAGAAACTATAGAAGAGAAGAAAAACGTTACATTTGGTGTCAGCGAAAACGTTACATTTTCTATTGGATCTATTAGATACTTTTTCCAGTAGCGTAGCCAGGATCGTCTCATGGGGGTTGGGGAGGGTTAAATTTTTTCCATTATTACCTATAATATAAGTGGGCTGGTAGTGTGTCCGTCCTTCCTTCCTTCCTACCGTCATCGATATAGATTTTGGAACCATAAAAGTAAACATCGCACCATGCAGTGCTTTTCAGTGCATCGGATTGCCTTATGATAAGTTAAAGAGTAGGGTTTGTTTATAAAACGTTTAAATGTATTTTACAGTTGCCACTGTTTTTACTCTTTCGCATAACGTCAAGAAAATATTAAATACACTCACCCTGCTAAAACATATTAAAAGGATCAATGTCAAATATCATTTTCGTTTAGACTCTCAGAAAAAGTGGATACATTTTAATAACATAATAACAGTAGGGTAGAAAAATCTAATTAATTAAACTATTTTTTTCTAATTTTGACAAGGGAGGTAATTTAAAAATAAATTCAACTCACGCTAAAAATGTGAATGCAAAATCTCCAAGACGGAATAATTGTTGGAATAATATAATTATGCAAAATGTAAATGAAAATCATGCAGACGTGTAAGAGTAAATTATTGTTGGAATATTATAATTAGCATTTATTGATTTATTTATTTTATTCACTGAATGTACTGTTTACTAATTATAATTTTTAATCAACTATTCCCCATTATTATATAAAGTCATCACGTTCATTAGGTGCATAATGGTTTTAGTCATGAAACTTTATTGTAAATTTTAAAAAGTACTGAGAAAAATGCATGAATTTATAAAGTGCAATATGGTCGGTAAAACACGGATATTCTAAATACTGCCTTTTATTTATTTTATACACTGAACGTACTGTTTACTCATTATTATTCTATCTTTCGGTTTGCGGACAAGCTAGGGGTTTTATAGCAGAGGCGTAGCGAGGGGGTGGGGGGCTGGGTGGGACATATGTCCCCGGGCGCCGACCTTAGGGGGCGCCAAAATGGGTTTGAAAAACAAATAGAAATTTTCGGTGGGGGTTGCAAATCGAAAGTTTGAGGGCGGGGGGGGGGGGGGGGAATTGTAAATCAAAAGTTTGAGGGCGGGGTGCAAACCGAAAGTCTGAGGGGGGTGCAAATCGAAAGTTTAAGGGGTGGGGTGGAAATTGAAAGTTTGAGGGGAGGGGGTGCAAATCGGAAGTTTGAAGGCGGTGCAAATCGAAAGTTTGTCCCCGGACGCCGGGAAGAGTCGCTACGCCTCTTTTTATAGTCATTCACTGAGTCAGACGCGCCTGCCTGCGCTCGGAAAGGGCGCGATTTGGTGCTAAGGGCTAGACTGTGAGCAATATGCCTTTATAATTGCATTTAAATTGTGTTTATGTTATGAGTGTTGTGTTTGTTTTTTCGTTTGTGTTTTTTTTTTACGTTCGTTTGCGTTGTGTTTAGTTTTGTTCTGTTCCCAAGTTAGTACATTTAAAAAAGATTTACCGTGGCGGGGCACGGGTATGCAGCTAGTATATATTTAAAATTTTTTCATATATTTTTTATATAACAATAAGCGTTGGTATGTCACTCAGTGTTTCTTCCAGACTTTTTTCTCCGGGAGGGCACTTGAAATCTTCGGGGGGGGGGGGGTGGTAAACTTTCTTCGGGGGGGCGGACACTGTTAAAAGTATATATTTTCTATATAAATTATATAAATTTCATTTCGTTCGGGGGGGGGGGTAAAAAAATTTCGGGCCCCCCCCCCCCCGAAGAGATGCCTGGAAGAAACTCTAGTGTCACTTCCAGTGCACTTTGACTATAGAAATAGAGAAGTTTGTGACAAAAATGACAAACACATAAAGGCTAAAAGACATAAAAATATGCTTAATGAGAATATGATATTAAATTATCAAATTCTTATAATTTTTGAAAAATCGGTAATGGAGCAAAGTACCCATTCCGGCTACCGGAAATCGCAAAAAAGTTGATAGAAATCTATCTCTAGGAACTATAACATAGGCATATATGAAATTTCCTCGACTTAATTGAAGCGGTACTCAAGGTATCTGTATTTTAGAGGCCAGAAATGGAGTAAATTACCACTTCCTGATATCGGAGGCAGAGGCGTAGCGAGGGGAGGTGCGGACTGCACCGGGTGACACCATTTAGGAAGGTGACACCAAGGCAAATAAAATACTTAAAAAAAAACTTTTTAAAAAACCACGTTTTCCTTGTGGACTAAAAAGTAGAAAATAAATTTTCATACATTTGATGACAAAAAAACGTGGGTACGTTCACCATCAAATTTCCCGACCCATCTGCCCGACCCACGTTTTTTGTCATCAAATGTATGAAAATTTATTTTCTACTTTTTAGTCCACAAGAAAAACGTGTTTTTTTTTTAAGTTTTTTTTAAGTATTTTATTTTCTCCTTTTTAGTCCGTTGCTACACATGAAAAACGTGGTTTTTAAAAAAGTTTTTTATATAGTTTATTTTCTACTTTATCTAATGACTTGATTGGGGCCGAAGTAACTGTGTCAATAGGCCTCCAGTCTTGTCGCTATCTTTAGAAATCATGTCCTCAATTTTATGGTCCTTAGGGCGTAATTAAATTAAGCTAATTACGGTCTCTAATTGCTAGTTTTTATGATTGCATCTGAAATTGTTAGGCAAAAGTAGCCTGCATGCCAAATTTCAGATCTATAGAGCAATCAGAAGTGGGCTAATTTTCGATGTCAATTTTAACAACAAACACACGCGAAGCTGAGTTAATAAAAACGTGTTAAAAATAGCAAAATATATAGAGAAAAATTTGAGGGGGGGGTGCAAATCGAAAATTTGAAAGTTTGTCCCCGGGAAGGGTCGCTACGCCTCTCGGGGGTGACACCATTGAGTGTCGCACCGGGTGACACCCGAACTCGCTACGCCACTGATCGGAGGTTACTCAAAAGTAAAATGTAATCCAATCATAAGATGTTATACTTATATATGAAATTTCGTCTAATTAACTTCAACGGTAATCAACTGTTCAGAAACCGGAAGTAAAAAAGGTAATACTTCCTTTAAACACTTTAAACGATACATTTTTTTAAAAAACATTCCTATAAGTTTTGAGTCATTTAGACTTCATGCTCTAAACCAAGGGTCTCCAAACTGCGGTCCGCGGGCCGGATTCGGCCCGCAAGGTCCTCTCATCAGGCCCGCGGAGATCTTTTTGTCCACGGAAAAAAATGTCTGTTAGAGGTGGCTGAGGAACTTTGCCCAAAAAATTCAAAACTATTTGAAAATGTAGCTGTGGGTGCAAATACCTTTGCTCACCGTGTTGCAGGCATTGGTGAAAACATCGTGACTCAAATAGCGAAAAATGCAAGCACGTTTCACTATTTTTACAAGCTTTTATTTAACTTGCTTCCTCGTCGGTCTGTCTGTCTGTCTGTCTGTCTAGATCGAAACGGCCGTGCGAAATTGCAGGCACTTCTAACTAACAGATACGGTTTGTAATTGGTACGTGGGTCCAGACATGAAGACATCGTGACATTCAATTTGACTTAATTGGTCGCCTAATTAATTTTTTATGAATTAATTAAAATTTGGACCGAATTAGTAGGCAGTTCTATCCACACGCGTCATCACGGCCGTGTTGGGCGTGGATTAAAAGCGTGGGCCGCTATAATAATATTAATAAGTATTTAAACAAGCGGTCCACACCTTTAATTATAGTGATGTATAAAATATAAATATAATATATTTAAAGAAAGTATTTATATATAAATATATAAAGTAACCGCAGATTAATTATATTTTTAAAAATTATTTTATATTTAATAAAAATTGTATTATTTTCTTCTTTTTAGTGCATTTATAAAAGCTTGTAAT